TCGCAGGACTAACAAATTCACCACAAAATTAGAAATTATGGTTTAGGAGTCATGTGGCTGGAGGCCACAAGATTCTAAACCTCCCCAAAATGATTTCTCTGATGTTAGACTCAGGCTGTTTTCAGTTTTTCTCAATTGTTTTTTTGAGATGGAGTTTTGTTCTTGTTGTCCAGCCTGGAGTGCAATGGCACAATCTTAGCTCACTGCAACCTCTGCCTTCCAGGTTCAAGCAATTCTCCTGCCTCAGCCCCCTGAGTAGCTGAGATTACAGATGGCTGCTGCCATACCTGGGTAATTTTTGTATTTTTAGTAGAGGCAGGGTTTCACCATGTTGGCCAGGCTGGTCTCGAACTCCTGACCTAGTGATCCACCCGCCCTGGCCTCCCAGGGTGGTAGGATTACAGGCATGAGCCACCGAGCCTGGTCTAGTTTTTCTCTGTTATAGATAATGCTGCAAAGGACATCTTCACTGACATTTTTTTTCTGTTGAATTATTTCCTTAGGATAAATTCCCAGGAGTCAGAAATATATAATCAATGGATATTTTCTGTTTTTTCATGTTTCATGAGTTATATTGCCATTTTGTTTTACAAAGGGATTGAACCAAGACTGATTCACCAGAAGCGTCTATTAGTTTTACCAAAACCCTGGCAGCCCTGGGTGTTACCATTTAAAAAGAGTAAAAGGAGGCACAAATCTCAAATATAAGATGGTACTTACAGTTTGCCTCAATATGCATTTAAATTGCTAATCGAGATGAATAATTTTTTTCGCATTTATTTTCTGTTACTCCTTTTGGATATGAATTGTTTCTATCTTTTGCTTATTTTTCTCATTATGGTTCTCAATGTTTTTCTTTCAGAATTGCAGGTAATCTTTACTGAGTGTAGATAGTAATGTTAAAGTTAATGAAATTATTTTACTTTTTTTTTCAGTTTTACTTTCTCCCACCACTGTCTAGCTATGTTAATATTTCCTCCTGGAATTTTCATTTATAATATTAATACTCTTTTTAGGTGCTGGTCACCTTACCCAACCTGCGGCCTCTACACAGAGAGGCCTTGGGGGAGAGGAAAAGCTTCTCCAGTGATTGATGTCAGTGGCCCACCGAGGTAAGAGCAATACTCGGTCTCTGAAGGTATCCCAGAAACTAATTTCCCTTAATCAAATGAAGGGCCTTAGGAGGAGCCACAAGGCAGAAATGAAAATAAATCTGAAGGAGAATACCAAATTCTGTGAGGAGTTTGAAAGACCTGCATTAAAAAAGGGCAGCGTACCTTTAGGACTTCAGCACTGGCGATGCTCCATATGCAGTTATTAATATGCAAAAAATGCCTTCATAAATACTTGATTCTGTTCACAGTGGGGAAGCAGTTCATTTGAAAGAGGAAATGGGAGCTTGGAGTTGAAACATGTCTGCTTGTCTCCTTTTTCTTTTTTCATTGCTCTCTTTTCATCTCCACATTTCCCCTTGTAGTTTTCTTTCCCCCGCCTCCCCACCCACTCACCCCCTCTTCCAACTCCTAGGAAGTTGCTGATGTCAGTTGCTACTCTCATTTCTTTTGATGGATTCACCGCTGAGACCCCACTTCTCGGGTCAGGTGTGGAAGGGGTGCCTTGGGAGCCGTTCCCACCGTTTGCCATCCTGATCCTGTGTTGGAGGAAGGAGCCTAACCCTTTCTGCTCCCACTGCAGCGTGAACAGCCTCTGAGAAGACAAGGTGACGGCTCTCCCATCGCCGCAGTAGGGCCTCCGGAGAAGCCTCCAGCCCAGGAAACCATCACCCCAGCCTCTACAGAGCACGGCGTGGCTTTCTCCCCAACCCACACGCCAGAGATTGTTTTCCAAATCTAGGTCTGCGACTTCTTATTAGAGGGTGGTAATACCAGAATATCCACCCTTGGCATGTCTTCCCCTCTCTCAGCTAGCACTGTGATAAAAGTACAAGTCTTTCATGTGACTGAACCCCTAATCGGGTCTGATCCTGAGGAAGGGAGGGAGTGGGGAGTCAGTGGGGGAACTGATGGAAAGGAACGGCTGCTAAGATCAGTATTGTGTCCTCTGCTTCAGGGTGGGAAAGGCCGCAGGGGAAGGAATCCCCTGGATTGCCAGTGGCTCAAGGTAGGGAACTGAAGTCGGCTGGGCAGAAATTTGTTCCTAAATGTGTTTCAGATGCTTTATAATAAACATGAAATTAGTCATTGCCTTGGAGTAGGCCGAGGAAGTAGTTAAAACTGAAGTCAGTGATTAATCTAGTAAGAGGCCATTAGCCTGGAGAAATGAGCTGGGGTGCAGGGGGCCAGGAAGTCACCCCCACCTCCCTCCCACCCTGTTTTCTCTGTGTTTGGGACTAGTGGGGGTCCCTAGACTTCTCCTCAGATGCCTTTTCTTTCCAGGGTTGCTTGTAAAGGAATTGGGACTACTGTGTCTTAGACAAACCAATGGGTTCTGGTAGGAGCCACCCTGCCGGTTCACGTAGGAAGCAGGCGCAAGGGCTTCTGAGCCAGCTGAGTTTCCACAGCCTTGCAGGGGAAACTGGAATGAGAGTTTAAGACTCCTTGCTCTGGTGTTCCTTTTTCTGACTGCAAAGTTAATAATTCAGCCTAGGATTTAATTTGACATGTTGAGCCCATCTCTCTCTCTCTCTCTCTTTCTTTCTTTTAAATGGATTCTTGCTCTGTCACCCAGGCCAGAGTGCAGTGGCGTGATCTTGGCTCACCGCAACCTCCACCTCCCGGGTTCAAGCCATTCTCCTGCCTCAGCCCCCCAAGTAGCTGGTATTACAGATGCGCCTGCCACCTCACCAAGCCAATGTTCGTATTTTTAGTAGAGACGGGGTTTCACCATGTTGGGCAAGCTGGTCTTGAACTCCTGACCTCGTGATCTTCCTGTCTCAACCTCCCAAAGTGCTGGGATTACAGGTGTGAGCCCACTGTGCCTAGCTGAGCCCATCTTTGATTGCAGGTGATAGTAGGTCTTGTGGAACAGGACTGTGGGGCTGTGTGAATTTGGAGTGTGTTTGGGGTATGTGAGGCCTTTGCATTGCCTTTGGGGTTACAGAATTATCAAAATATACCATATTATGTTTTCCTTAGTCACAGACTCTTTAAAAAAACTCTGTTTCTAGATCCCTTATATGGGATGTCTGCAAAGTGGGCATTTAAAAAATGCAAATGTTGATTTTGTAGCTGCTTGGAAGCTGGGAGGAGCTGCTCAGCCGTGTTTCACCTTAGTGGAGGCCTGACCCAGGCCTGGGGTTGTCACAGAGTTCAAGTCCTACCTCAGAGCCCAGCTCAGGCATGCAGATGAAAGCAAACCTGTTTCTTTTCTTTTCTTTTTTTTTTTTCTGAGACAGAGTCTTGCTCTGTCACCCAGGCTAGAGTGCAGTGGCGCAATCTTGGCGCATTGTAACCTCTGCTTCCCGGGTTCAAGCAATTCTGCCTCAGCCTCCTGAGTAGCTGGGATTACAGGTACCTACCACCACACCCAGCTAATTTTTGTATTTTTGGTAGAGACGGGGTTTCACCACATTGGCCAGGCTGGTCTCAAACTCCTGACCTCGTGATCCACCTGTCTCGGCCTCCCAAAGTGCTGGAATTACAGACGTGAGCCACTGTGTCCAGCTGCAAACATGTTTCTATTATCATTATATATAGTGAGTTCTGGGGGAGAAGAGAAAGCCAGGCCATGGCAGGAAGGAAGGTGGAGAGAATGGAGAAATCAAGATCATGGCCCAGAGGTGTCACCCAGCAGGGTGAGACCTGCGAGGCCCCTGGAGCTGCGCGTGCTGCCTCTGCCTCAGATTCTCTGAGGCCCTGGATTCAGTTCTAGGAATTCCCCTGAGTTGCCTCTCTAGAGAGAATTTGAAGACAGTTCCAGCTTCAAAGCTTCCAAGGAAGGAACAAACTTATAAATATTTGTGTACACACGTCCTTGAACTACTAATAGATATTCTTTTTTTTTTTGAGACAGGGTCTCGCTTTGTCACTCAGATTGGAGTGCCGCAGCATGATCTAAGCTCACTGCAACCTCCACCTTCTGGGTTCAAGCGATTTTCTTGCCTTAACCTCCCAAGTAGCTGGGAGCACGGGTGCATGCCACCACACCCGGTTAATTTTTGTATTTTTAATAGAGACAGGGTTTCACCATGTTGTACAGGCTGATCTTGAACTCCTGACCTCAGGTGATCTGCCTGCCTCGCCTCCCTTAGTGCTGGGATTACAGGCGTGACCTGATGTGAGTGTGAGCCACCTCGACCTGCCTGCTAATAGAAATTCTTTCTTTTTTTTTTGAGATGGAGTCTCGCTCTGTCACCTAGGCTGGAATGCAGTGGTGTGATCTCAGCTCACTGCAACCTCTGCCTCCCGGGTTCAAGCGATTCTCCTGCCTTAGCCTCCTAAGTAGCTGGGATTACAGGTGCGTGCCACCACGCTTGGCTAATATTTTTTTGGATTTTCAGTGGAGACAGGGTTTCACCATGTTGGTCAGGCTGGTCACGAACTGCTGACCTCAGGTTATCTACCCACCTCAGCCTCCCAAAGTGTTGGGATTACAGGTGTGAGCCACTGCGACTGGCCTGCTAACAGAAATTCTTAATGTGTCCAGATGAAGCACTATCCTCCTTTCTTTATGATTACCTTTGCACTTTTTTCTTAATTGCTAATTTTTATCTGTATTATGAATGAAAATTAGTGCCTACGGCCTCATTGAATGCCGCCTTTTTATGTTCCCTTATTCCCTTTTTGACTTTGCAGAAGTCAGGGAAGGGCCTATTCAGCTTATTCACACACGTAAAGAGCTAAATGGTACAGTCCAAGTTAAGACATTCCAAGGTGTAAAGGAACCCCTGTGATTTCAGAGTCTACTTGTCTCATTTTACTGATTAGGCAAATGAGACCCAGAGAGCTAAAGAGTCTCACCTAGGGCCACACAGCAAGCTGAGACAAGAACCCAAGAGTTGTGACTCCCAATGCCATCCTTATTCAGAGTCAATACTGTACCTGCTTCTCTGTTGTTTGGGTCAACGGTGAGGTTTCATAAAGATTCATGTGAAGATCGGCTCTAGCTTCAGTGTCTGCTATAGTGAAAATCAAAGAGGAACAAAGATTAAGGTGGTCAGATCTGGATCTCATGACTTTTTATATATACCATACACACACCTAGTTCATATGTATGTAAGATTATAAGCACATATACAGACATGGCGTTCATAATTTACTCACCAAATAACACCTGTAACCTCTATAGGCACAGTCTAAACACCATGTTAAATATAGCGTTAAGACCTTATGTTCAAACAGATATTATTCTTGTTTTGGTTGCTCTTTAAAAGAACAAAAGTGAATTTTTTATGCTATTAAAATTCAGATAAAGCTGAAATTAAAAAGGAAATATTGATGGAAAAAATATGCTGATGCTGTTGAGTATAAATTTTGTATGACTGCACTTCACTGAAGTAGGAACATGCTTCTGCAAACTTCCAAATAGATCAGAGACTTCCCTTTTCCCTCATAATGTGGTGGGGCAAGAGGAGAGGTGGAAGCATGAATCAAACAAAGGCAAAGGCCAAAGTGGGGCTGGAGGGAGTGGACTAACGGAAGCCACGGAAACCATGGAGCCTGCCGGGAAGCAGTGGACACCAGCACAGGGCTGTGGTGTGATGCCCATATGACTCCCGTCCATGGCTGTTGTTACCACTGTCCTCTAGAGGTGTGGCAGCTGAGGCTCAAAAAGGCATAGTAACCCACTCAAGGTTGTACCATTAGTGAGGTTTTTGAGTAAGGATTTCCCTCTAAGACTGCCCTCCTCTAAAACTCCATAGTGCAAAAGGATAGGTTTTATTTTGCTTTTCTTTTTTTCCTTTAAGAAAGTAAATTTGGTCAGGTGTGGTGGCTCTTGCCCGTAATCCCAGCACGTTGGAAGGCAGATGTGGGCAGATCGCTTGAGGCCAGGAGTTTGAGACTAGCCTGGCCAACACGGTGAAATCCCATCTCTACTAAAAATACCAAAATTAGTGGGATGTGTGTGGTGCATGCCTGTAGTCATAGCTACACAGGAGGCTGAGGCAGGAGAATTGCTTGAACCTGGGAGAGGTTGCAATGAGCTAAGATCGTGTCACTGCAATTCAGCCTGGGTGACAAAGTGGACTCCATCTCAAAAAAATAAAAGTAAATTTAATATTCTAAAGGTATGTTTATCTGAGGAACAGATTTAGCTAAGCACATGGCTCTATTGATAAGGATTTTAGTCTCTTCTGCACAATTCCAGGCACGCTTGAAACTGGGAGTTCACAGTCCTTCTGTGATGAACATTTCTGCCACTATTCTATGGGACCAGTGTCCAGCAAAAAGTTCTTTCCATACTTGGTACTCATAAGTAGCTCTCTTAGGAGCCAATGGCTGTATAGGACTCTGTCTGTTTGTCTTTTTGACCTTAAGCCTCTACTCATTCTTTGTGGGCTTGACCTTCCCATTTCTGTTGTTTCTCAGCTATCTTCTGTCTCTGAAAATGTCTTTTGCACAGATTTAGAACATTTCTTAGCAGGGTGTAGTGGTGCATGCCTGTAATCCCAGTTACTCAGGAGGCTGAGGCACAAGAATCACTTGAACCAGGGAGGTAGAGATTGCATTGAGCCTCTCCAGCCTAGGTGATAGAATGAGACTGTCTCAAAAAAAAAATTTTTTTTTTTTAAATTTAAATCAGCTCGGGGGAAACTGAGGCCCTAAAAGCGTTTTCCTTCAATTGGCTCATGGCCACACCTTGAAATAATACAAGACCAGGATGTAGAACCCAGATGTCCTGACTTAGTGTCTTGCACTTTCCACTCCATATCACACCACCTCCCATTAGCCTCACTGAGCTTGCCACATCACAGCTGCTTGGCCATGAGCCACCCTCAGGACAAATCCAGCCCAGCAGAATTGTGTTGTGATGAGGTTCACTTCACTGTGGCTTGGAAGGGACCATGGGCTTCTTAGAAATGAAACTTATAAATTCTAATGCATAAAGTTCTTGCAACACCAGGAGAATGTATCAGTCAGCCAGAGTTCAAGAAATGTAAACACATTTTTAGATAGGAGACTGAAAAATCACTTAGGACTTCTCCATCTCTTGGGTCAAGACCTTGGTAATTTGCTGAGGTTCAAGCTATCAAGGAGGAGTCACAACTCAAGCTGCATTCCAGGGAGATAGAGCAGTGGGGGTGGTAAAACCTCCTTTCAGATCTATCCCTGTTATCAAGTCAAAGAAACTGATTAACCCATCGACCAACCAGGCAACTGGCTGAAAACAAAGGCCTGGTTCTTTTTTGTCGTTCAGAATCTGGTGTGCACATTCCATTTTTTACAGTCTATACAAACTATAGACTACACAACTTCCAGGCATGCCCGAAACTGGGAGTTCACAGTCTTTCTGTGATGAACATTTCTGACACTAAAGAGATAAACAGAAAACACATTCCTTCCTTGGCTGCCCACCATCAGGCCTTAGCAGATTTTCAGATGCTAGCATTAATCTAACCACAGGCTTTTAGTGAGGAGATAGCAGTCCTGCCAGATAATCAGGCAGTTTTAGAGATGACCCTTTCTAGATGGGGGTCTCATCCCAAGCCTGCTTTGCCTTCTTCAAATCATGGGATCCTTCACCAAACACTCAAAACTTGAAAAGTAGGAAAGGGCATCTGATTCTAGCTTGGAATATGGCTCCTTAACATTTCCTTCTATTTAAATCTATGTTGGCTATGTTTAATTCCCAAGTCGTTGTTTGTTGTTTTCAATAAAAACGAAACATAGTTGGCCCTGGGTGCGGTGGTTCATGCCTGTAATCCCAGCACTTTGGGAGTCCGAGGTGGGTGGATCACTTGAGGTCAGGAGATTGAGACTAGCTTGGCCAACATGGCAAAACCCCATCTCTACTAAAAATACAATTAGCCAGGCATGGTGGCAGGCACCTGTAATCCCAGCTGCTTGGGAGACTGAGGCAGGAGAACTGCTTGAACCTGGGAGGTGGATGTTACAATGAGCTGAAATTGCACTATTGCACTCAAGCCTGGGCAACAAGAGCTAAACTCTGTCTGAAAAAAAAAAAAAAAAAGAAACATAGTCATATTTATTCCCATTGTTTCAGGTTGTCTTGGTATGGGACCTTCTTTTGGACCCTATCTGGTGTCAAAGTAGAGATCAAAGAGTCACCTCACTAGGCCAGGTGGACCACCTGGCTCCTTCCTAGATGTATGTTAGGGTTTGAGAAAGATTATCACACTCGTAGGGTCCAAAGTGGCCAAATATCTGGTGGTGACAAGGGCAGTAGCTGTTGGAGTTGCTGGCAGGAGCTTCTGTGAATCTGTTTTGGGTCTTTGTCTATGTATACCATTTCTGAGGCATGAGCACCCTTTGCGGCTGACATGCTGTCATGATGTCATGAAATACACCCCATAACTTTCAATGCTTTGTCACCATGGAGGGGATATATCCATTGCCAAACAGGTCTCAGAAAGCACCTTTGCCTTCTCATAGCTTTGCACAGGGACTTGCTGGGCCCAACAGGAACCAATGGGAGAAGGCCTGAAAGTCAGCCTCAGTCCCTTCATGGTTTTGTGTTTTTTTGGTCACAAATGGAAAATGCAAATGCAAATTCCAGATTATTAAAAAAAAATTCTCCTCAGTATAAACTTAACCATAAAAGGAAGGATAATTTTGGTCCTGCTGACCTTTCCTTAAGAATATCTAAAAATACTTTATTTTATATGATGTGACTCAAGATGCCTATGACCTATAGAGTGTTTGTAGTGTTATAATAAATTTTGAGTCTGCTTGTTTAATGCAGGACACCAAGACCCAAGATGGCCTTTCGGTATTGTCATTATCAAATTCTTAGGACAAGATTTAATACCCTGTTTATGCTACATTTTCACTTTAAATCTTCCTGAATGAGGAGGAGGGTGAGAGGGGCGTATGGAATAGTTGCTGGAGACCTGAATAAGTCTCCAGGCGAAAGACATCCCCCTGGGAGCTCTAGCTAGGAGTCAAGTAGACAGATCTAGAAAATATGAGTCAGTCTGAATTTAAATATGGAAATACACAGTAAAGGCAAGGGCAATATTTTTCTTCCAATTTGGGATAACCGTCCTTTTACTTATATCTTTTTAGATTAAGTCTAGCTAAGTCTCAAGGGTCTGGCTTTAGCTTTGGGAACACCAATCTTGCTCAAAAGTTCATAAACTATTTTTTATGGAAAGGTCTAAAGGCACATGGCAGTTTACCAAGCCCAGAATGAAAGCCTAGCTAGAGGACTGAATTTAAATTCAAGTTGTGTAACAACAAAATGTCAACCACATGAGAAACCTTCCAATCAGGAGACATCACAGGATTAATAAAGATATCCATGTGGAGGAAAGGAATTTATAAAAAGGCTGAAGATGGAATTGCATATAGAACAGCAAGAGTCATTCACATGGTGGTCTCTGTTTCCCAGAAAACATATTTACGTATAGTTTTTGAGAGGAGTCTTGTTCTGTCTCCCAGGCTGGAGTGTAGTGGCACAATCTTGGCTCACTGCAATCTCTGCCTCCTGGTTCAAGTGATGCTCCCTGCCTCAGCCTCCCGAGTAACTGGGATTACAGGTGCATGCCACCATGCCTGGTTAATTTTTGTATTTTCAGTAGAGACGGGGTTTCACCATGTTGGCCAGGCTGCTCTTAAACTCCTGACCTTAGGTGATCTGGCCTTGTCCTCCTAAAGTGCTGGGATTACAGGTGTGAGTCACTGCGCCTGGCCACAAAATATTATTTTTGGTCACTTGCTCTCAAACAAATGTAGATATCTGGGCCCCAGCCTCTAGTCTTATCTCCTCTATTCAATTCTCTACATAGCTGGGAGTCATTCCTATAAAATAAAAATCTGGTGATGTCAATTCCTATGTAAGCAGAGTCCCACAACCATTGGCATAAATTCCTTAGTTGCTTTCTGTGGCCCTTCGTGATCTGGCTTCTGCCTCCTTTGTGAGGTGCACTTCTCATCAATCCCTCCCCTGCATGTACCATGGGGTGCAGTCACTACAAGTTGCCTAGGTTTCTCCATGCTGCCATGCTCTCTCATCTTTATATGGCCCTTTCTCCTAGAGCATCCTGTCTTCATCACTTGGCTAGTTGCTACATATATCCTTAGAAACTCTGCTTAAGTGTCCAAAAGCCTTCTCAACCCCCAGGCCGCGTCAATCTGTACTTGTTCGTACTTCTCAACACATTCCACCCCTGTGGGCTACTTTAAGGCAGGGATGTGGTCTCTCAACTGTATTTTTGTGCCTAGCATAGTATTTGTCACTAGATGGACAATTGGTGTTTGTTGAATTAATGAATGAGCAACATCTTTCTGCTTTGTAAAACATACTCACGGCCAGGCATGGTGACTCACCCCTATAATCCCAGCACTTTGGGAGGCTGAGGTGGGCAGATCACCTGAGCTCAGAAGTTTGAGACTAGCTTGGCCAACATGGTGAAGCCCCATCTGTACTAAAAATACAAAAAATTACCTGGGTGTGGTGGCACGTGCCTGCAATCCCAGCTCCTCGGGAGCCTGAGGCAGGAGAACGGCTTGAACCTGGGAGGTAGAGGTTGCAGCGAGTTGAGATTGTGCCATTGCACTTCAGCCTGGGCAACAAGAGCCAGACTTCATCTTAAAAAACAAAGAAGCAAACAAACCAAAAACAACATACTCACAGATTCTTTCTGTTGAACACAGTCTGACTCTGGTGTCTACATTAATTTTCAAAGGAGGGATTATGGGGAAACCAAGACTATAGCAAAATCCTTAGGCCACAGAGAGATGTATGAAAGGAACAAGAGAAAGAAACTAGGTGGGAAAAAAATCCTTTAGAAAAGCCTTGTCCTTCTTTCTTTCTTTATTTTTTATCTTATTTTATTTTATTTTTTTGAGACAGAGTCTTGCTCTGTCACACAGGCTGGAGTGCAGTGGCATGATCTTGGCTCACTGCAAACTCCACCTCCTGGGTTCAAGCAATTCTTCTGCCTGAGCCCCTAGCGTAGCTGGGACTACAGGCACATGCCATCATGCCTGGCTAATTTTTGTGTTTTTGGTAGAGACGGGGTTTCACCATGTTGGCCAACCTGGTCTTGAACTCCTGACCTCAAGTGATCCACACACCTCTGCCTCCCAAAGTGCTGCGATTATAGGCGTAAGCCATTGCACCCAGGCTCATGCTTCTTTATAGTTTTGATGAGAAGACAACACACATGTCTGAAGGGTGATGAAATAGAAAATAGTATTTATGAATTACTAGTTAATGAAAGTTATAATTTTTTGATCACTGTGACAGAAGAAAATTTAATATTCCAAACTTTAATATAGGTGGAGGAATGTAACTCACACACAAAATCCCAAGATCTGTACCTGCTTTAAAAAGCACTGTGCTAAGTACCACTTCACTTTTGGGCAAGGTCCTGATCTCTTGTGCATATCATGCCTTAAATGAACAGCAGATCCTAGCTACTTGGGAAGGACACATCCTGAGAATTTTAAGACTCCTTAGATTTGTGAATACCCCTAGTGTGTATCTACTGGTAATAAAACTAAAGAAGAATTGAAAAAAGAGAGAGTGTTCTTCAGACTCTTAATGAGACTATAAATAAAGGATTAGAGTGATTTATTAAATGATTTTTTTGGCAGAGAACCATCACATTGTTAGGCCAATTCACTTTCTCTTACTTCCATCACGAGTCCCAGAAGTCAACTTTTTTTTAGGGCCATTAAAAATACATGTGTGTGTATATATGTATATAAAGAGATCAATGTTCTTCTGTTTGAAAAGTAACTATACAGGAGCTATTGCAGATGTTATAATGAATTATAGACCACAATATGAGATGGGTGAGTGCTGCGAAGCTGGCTAGGCTCACTCACTAGCTTAGTGATAGTCTTCTGTCTCCCAGCCTTGCAGTATCAATGATTTGACTTCATGCATCTGTAAAATGACAAATTGTATGGGTCCTGATGTTTTATTGATTTTTTATTTTTATTTTTTTAGAGATAGGGTCTTTTAGAGATGTTGGCCAGGATGGTGTTGAATTCTAGTCTCAAGTAATCCTCCCACCTTGGCCTCCCAAAGTGCAGAGATTACAGTCATGAGCCACCACACTGTGCCAGTCCCTGACTTTTGAGGTCATTTCAAATAGTTGAAATCAACCTTCATGTCCACAAATACCCAAAGTCTACCATCTACGCAATCTTTTTAGAATCCTATCACTTTTATATGAAAATATTCATTAAAACCAAATGACCAAAAAGAAAAAATTGTGAAAACTCTAGGCCAGGGGCGGTGGCTCACGCCTGTAATCCCAGCAGTTTAGGAGGCTGAGGTGGGTGGATCACCTGAAGTCAGGCATTCAAGACCAGCCTGGCCAACATGGTGAAACCCCATCTCTACTAAAATTACAAAAATTAGCTGAGTGTGATGGCGGGTGCCTAAAATCCCATCTACTTGAGGGGCTGAGGCATGAGAACCACTTGAACCTGGGAGATGGAGGTTGCAATGAGCCAAGATTGTGCCACTCACTCCAGCCTTGGCAATAGAGTGAGACTCTGTTTCAAAAAACAAAATTGTGAAAACTCTATAGGTGTTTCAATGTTTTAAATTGGTCTTTGAACTCAGTTCCGGGGGGTATCAGGTATTTTCTTTTCTTTCTTCTTTTTTTTAGACAAAGTTTCATTCTTCTTGCCCAGGCTGGAGTGCAATGTTTCACCACAACTTCCACCTCCTGGGTTCAAGCAATTCTCCTGCTTCAGCTTCCCAAGTAGAGATTACAGGCATGTGCCATCATGTCTGGCTAATTTTGTATTTTTAGTAGAGATGGGGTTTCTCCATGTTGGTCAAGCAGGTCTCAAACTCCTGACCTCAAGTGATCTGCCCACCTCAGCCTCCCAAAGTGCTGGGATTACAGGTGTGAGCCACTGCGCTCAGCCCAGGTATTTCCAAAGTAGTGTTTTATCTATTTCCTTAACAACAAATGGGGAATATTAAGCACAAAGTGAAAAAATGTTTTTGTTAAGGTCATTGGGCAAATCAAGGCAACAAATAAGGTTCTAAGATGTCAAAGAGGCACCCTATAAGAGGCACCCATGCTTATTCGTGAAATGCATTTTCCTGCAGAGACTGTTCTGCATAGTGATTAAGTTTCTAAGTCGATCTGGAAAATAAAAAGCCTATTTCACCCTTATTGTAGCTAAACTTTTAAAATCATTAAATGCTTATGACGCACTGACAGCAGGTGTGTATTAGCAGCATATTACCAGGTAATAGGGGTGCCTGGTGGGTCCCTGCACTTAAAAAACTTGCAGTCTAGTGATAGTGTGTGGTGCCTCATACCTATAATCCCAGCACTTTGAGATGCTGAGATGGGAAGATGGCTTGAGCCCAGAAGTTGGAAGCCAGTCTGGGCAACATGGTGAAACCCCATCTCTACAAAACAAAACAAAACAAAAAGACAGGCATGATGGCAAGCACCTGTAGTCCCAGCTATACAGGAGGCTGAGATAGGAGGATTGCTTGAGCCTGGGAGGTCGAGGCTGCAGTGAGCTGAGATCCAGCCACTGCACTCCAGACTGGACAAGAAGAATGGGACAATGTAGTGAGCGAGACTCGGTGGTTGTGACTGGGTAAGCATGGTTCGTTGTGCGCATGTGGAGGGGGACTGTCACCCCATCGGCGGGGAGGGGGGAGGGAAGGAGGGCCAGGGGGAAGCAGAAAGGCTTCGCGGGGAGGTCAGCTTGGGAACTAAGTGAAGGATTAGCAGGAGTTAGACAGGACAAGGGTAAAAGCTGGGGGATAACAGAAAGTAGAATGGTGGTTGCCAGGGGCTAAGGGAGGGGAGGAGGGGGAGTTGTTTAATGGGTGTAAAGTTTCAGTTTTGCAAGATGAAAAGAGTTCTGGAGACTGGTTGCACAATAATGTGAATGTACTTAACGCTACTGGACTGTACACTAAAAATTGGTTCAGATGGCAAATTTTATGTTATGTGTATTTTATCGCAATTAAAAAATGTTGGTCAGGAGGAGATGAGGAGGCAGGAGGATGTGCTCCAGGAGGCAGAGGGAACAGTGCTTTCTAAAGCTTGGAAATAGGAAAGAGATTTGCATTAGTCCAAGGTCTTTTAGTTACTAGGAATAGATGTGAGAAGAAGCAAAGCGTTCTCTCCTTTTCCTGGACTTAGAGTTGCTGCGGGGCCCCCTGTAATAGGCTGAGTTAGCTTTCGGTGCGCTGTCATTGCCCCTTCTGCACTTTTCTCCTTCCAGAGTCCCCTTCTCCATGCACCTACTGTTCCCCTGTTCATCCGCGCCCCTAGGGGAACTCCGAGCGCCAGGGATGTTTTACCCGGTGTACTTCCGGCCTGGCGTACTTAAAGCTCTATGTACGTACTTCCGGCCGGGGCAGTGGCTCATGCCCGTAATCCTAGCACTTTGGGAGGCAGAGGGTGGTAGATTGCCTGAGCTCAGGAGTTTGAGACCAGCCTGGGCAACAAAGTGAAACCCTGCTCCTACTAAAATACAAAAAATTAGCCAGGTGTGGCAGCGTGTGCCTGTAATCCCAGCACTCTGGAGGCTGAAGCAGGAGAATCGCTTGAACCCGCGAGGCCAAAGAGCCGAGATTGCGCCACTGCACTCCAGCCTGGTGACAGAGCGAGACTTTCTCTCCAAAAACAAAACAAAACAAACAACTCTACATACTTCCAAATTACTCACCTTTATGGCCACCCCATCAGAATTTTTAGTCTCTCAGAGCAGCTCTTCTCAGCTAGGTTGCAAGAGAGTAACTATCTGATGACATTTTTACTAGAGTGTGACAGACCATTCACCTGTCAGAAGTCTCAGAATCTTAAGAGGATACTTCTTAATCCAAGGTAAGTCTTTGGTGAGATTTTAATAGTAGAATGAAGTGAAATGGTAACATTTTAGGTGCCATTAGGAAGAATATTTTGGTTTGTGGAGCTAGCTTATAAACGCACCTGTCTTGGTTGAAAATTTGTTTCAGGACTTTGAGTCTCCCAAACTGTTACTTTTTTTCCCCCCCAGCTTCTCTTCTTCTTCCTATAATATCTCTAAAAGTTGCAAATCCTTTTAATGTCACCCACAAAAGGGTGTGTGATGTGAGTAGGGGGAACTGGAGGGGGAAACAGGAGTAGGATAGAAGCCATTTGTCTGTATGGGTCATTACTAAGCAAGGACTTCCTGAACTCCCACATATTGTCAGATAGAATTGCCTCTGTTTAGACTGATGCCACTATGAACCATGCCTCATCATAAAAATACAGTTTCCTTGGGTTTGAATCCTAACTTCACCACTTTGTGTGACCTTGGGCAAATCACTTAGCCTCTCTGAGTCACATTGTCCTAGATGAAAAATGAAGATAACGATAGGATTTATCTCCTATCATTACTGTGGGGATGAAATGAAATAATGAATGCAGCCAGGCACAGTCGCTCATGCCTGTAATCCCAGCACTTTGAGAGGCCAAGGTGGGCGAATCATGAGGTCAAGAGATGGAGACCATCCTTGTCAACATGGTGAAACCTCATCTCTACTAAAAACACAGGAGGCTGAGGCAGGAGAATCGCTGAACCTGGGAGGTGGAGGTTTTAGGGAGCCGAGATTGCACCACTGCACTCCAGCCTGGTGACAGAGCAAAATTGTCTCAAAAAAAAAAAAAAAAAAAAAAAAAAGGAATAATGAATGCAAAGCACTCTGCATGTTGTTTGGAATATCAGGGATATATAATAACAGTAACTGTCGCTGCCACCACCACCACCATCATCATTTTTACCGAGGGCTCCTATTTAAGAGCTGCTGTGGCCCAGTTCTAACGAATGCATGAGAATGAGCAGAAACGGCACCAAAACTCTACTTTTGTGAGGAGGTCCGCCCAAGGAAGATGGCAAGGGGGAATACAGAGGGCCAGACTTCCAGGTATTTCTCTGCTTATAGATTTTGAGATTGGCAAGGATATGATTGTGCCTTTTCTCTTACTTTTGCCATCTGGCAAAACAGTCCTTCCACCCTAATTTGCCTACAGCCCGTGATCTGTGGCACTGTCTCCTGCCTGTTCCTACAGCAGCTTCCTCATGGGATTCATTGCCACCCAGCCCCAAAAGAAGCAGTCAGGAAGACCACACACATTTCTCTGTTAATCAAAGACTGTTTTTAGGAGAGAAAGTCTCCAGGTAATCATCCTTCCTTTGGTCTGAAGCAGCAGCCATGTCTGTGGAGGATGAGCTACAAAGTCAACCTACACTCCCAGGGTTTGCAGATCTCTCCACGGGGGAAATGAGAGCCCTCCATTTAAAATACAAGCCTGAGTCTTTCCCAGATCGGCTCCTATCTTGTGGGGTGTGTGCAGGCTGAGTGATGCACAACTCCAGGGGACAATGTCTGCCTCATTATTTTGGGAATTCTACAGTGGATAACTGCAAAACCCACAGGACATCCTGCATATTATCCTTCCCCAGGCCAGCTAAGCACAAGCACTTGATTCCACCCAACGTCTCTTCCTTACTAATATTTACACTCAGACCACGGGGCTGCCCAAACTAATGAGAACAACACATTTCTCAGCTTTCTAAGAAGTAAATTCTCTTGGCTACTTATTGGTATATTTGGGGAGAAATTGTGGGTTTCTGGAGGTCTATTTATGAAATAATATGATCATGAGTCAAATTACATAAAGAAGTAGAGGTAACTTTTTAGGGGAAAAGCTTACATTTTAGGAAATGCTCAGTATTAGACCCTTCCTCTTCATGGTTGATATTTGAACTGACTGATTCATAGGCTGAAAAACAATAAGATATTTTACCTGAGAGTGGGAAAAAATCTTGAAAAGATTTATTCCCTTATCCTAAGACAAGGGAAAACATGAAGTGGCTCCCTCGATGTTTAAGCTTTGCAATGAATTTGACTTTTTTTTTTTTTTTTTAAATTTTTGAGATGGAGTCTCTTTCTGTTGCCCGGGCTGTGTGCAGTGGCACGATCTTGGCTCACTGCAATCTCTGCCTACTGGGTTCAAGTGATTCTCCTGCCTCAGCCACCTGACTAGCTGGGATTATGGACGTATGCTATCAAGCCCGGCTAATTTTTTGTATTTTTGATAGAGATCGGATTTTGTCATGTTATCCAAGCTGGTCTGGACTCCTGACCTCAAGTGATCTGCCCACCTCAGCCTCCCAAAGTGCTGGGATTACAGGCATGATCCACTACACCTCACCTTGAATTGAATGTTTTTGAAAATCCAGAGATGATAATCTGGAGAGAAGGTTGATCTAGGATTTAAAAAGCATTGAGGAAAATAATGTTTTTCTCCAAGATGTGTAAAGGTAAAATTCTGTAGGGTCCATAATGGTAAAATTCTGCAAGGAGAACGTTTGATAAAATAAGATCATGAAACAGTTAACGTTTGACACACGCTGCAAGATGCCCAGATTTGAACAGCAGCTGTCTCAGTGTGTGCAGCCATGGGGGATGACAGACAAGCACAAGGAGCCCCGTCTGCAGCTGTAGCGCAGAGTGTTGGACCAGGGGAGCCAGGAGGGATCCTAGCCAAGAAGACAGACAGGCTTTTTCACAGCCCCTAATGAATTTTTTTTTTTGTGATCTGTTAGTCACCTGGGGTGAGAATTATTCTCCTAGCTGTCCTTGTCAGTCAAAGTGAAAATCAGTTAAAACAATGTTTTTTTTTTTTTTTTTAACGGAGTTTTGCTCTTATTGCCCAGGCTGGAGTACAATGGTGTGACCTCTACCTCCCGGGTTCAAGTGATTTTCCTGCCTCAGCCTCCCAAGCAGCTGAGATTACATTATGTGCCACCATGCTTGGGTAATTCTATATTTTTTTTTAAGTAGAGATGAGGTTTCTACATGTAGGTCAGGCTGGTCTCCAACTCCTGACCTCAGGTGATCTGCCTGCCTCAGCCTCCCAAAGTGCTGGGATTACAGGCATAAGCCACTGTTCCCAGCCAATGATGCTGTTTTAATGACAGATGAGAATTAGAATGACAGACTTGAGAAAGTTAAGGGAGAGGTAATAGAAAAGAGGTCAATTGAGTGGGTCCTAAATGAAGGGAGACAGTTTTTTGTTTTTGTTTTTTAAGACAGAGTTTTGCTCTTGTCACCCAGGCTGGAGTGCAATCTCTCCAGCCTGCAATCCCCGCCTCCCGGGTTTAAGCAATTCTCCTGCTTCGGCCTCCTAAATAGCTGGGATTACAGGTGCCTGCCACCACACCTGGCTAATTTTTTTTGTATTTTTAGTAGAAACGGTGTTTCACCATGTTGGCCAGGCTGGTCTCGACCTCCTAACCTAAGGTAATCCACCTTCTTCAGCCTCCCAAAGTGATGGGATTACAGGTGTGAGCCACCATGCCTGGCCAGAAGAAAGGTTTTTAAAGGGAAATTTGATGTGTGTGTATGAGAGAGAGAGAGAGAGTCAGGGAGTGAGAAGGGAGAGGGAGGTGTGAGATACCAGGGAGAGCAATAGAGAAGAAAAAAAGGAATCCTAGAAAATTCAAACCGGAAACGACTTAGAGATCTTCTAGTCTACCTAGCCACCCAAACTCATTCCAAATAATTCTATTTATTTATTTTTTGCTTCATTGTCTCATTACTGATAACAAATAGACTAGAGAGATTGCTAGGAAAGAATGTTTGGGTTTTACTGATTTGCTAAACTGCAGTGGGGCTTGGCAAAGCCTGCCTCTAGTGCTTCTGTATCAAGGGGCACACACAGTGCCACGTGCACACCGAGAGCTGAGGCTGAGCAGGCGGCCTGGGATTCTGAGCATCAACACTGGAGAGAGGAAGAGCCTTAATTAGTGTTAATTGTTGACCCTATAGTTCAAGAATAGATGCTCAGGAGAATGGGAAATGAGAACAAACATTAATTATTGAGTAGGGGCCTTGGAGACAGATACTCTGGATTAAAAGGAGAGAGATAAATTGCATAATGAATGTTAATTTTCCCTCAAAGAATTGAGTGGTCGGTGGTTGAAAGGGAAAAAGAGGCTAAAAAACAGTCATGAAAGAGAAAGCTCCGTGTGTGTCAGGTGAAACAGTGGAGGAGGGTTACACAAACACTGTCTGTCACTGCCATCATCCTGCCCTTTGCCTTGTAGCTCCCAAGAAGTTTGCTATCAGGGTTTTCCTTAGAACTCATTATTAACCACAACTGCCTGCTAAGAAGCTCAACCATTTCCTTCACAGCCCAGGAGCCAGAAAACAGCTATGCTGCATTGCTGACAAGCTGAGAGGCATGTGGCATGGGGATCTATCTTTTCTGTGTGCCGGTGGGACTTTTACTTGGCTTGAGGGAGGCTGCCAAAGCTGTGACCCTATGGGTGCTGCTGTGGGACATCACGGGCTCCAGGCCTTAGTTGTTGTTTTAGCTTAATTACAATACAGGAGAAACACATGCTCTGCTTTCTGAAATAACCTTCTTAACTGAAAGTAAAAACAGAATAAAGAGAATTTGGGTTGGGCTGGTGGATCATGCCTGCAATCCCAGCACTTTGGGAGGCCGAGGCAGGCAGATCACGAGGTCAGGAGATTGAGACCATCTTGGCCAATATGGTGAAACCCTGTCTCTACTAAAAATACAAAAAAATTAGCTGGGCGTGGTGGTGCATGCCTGTAGTTCCAGCTACTCGGGAGGCTGAGGCAGAAGAATTGCTTGAACCGAGAAAGCAGAGATTGCTGTGAGCTGAGATCCTGCCACAGTCTGGGTGACAGCGTATGACTCTGTCTCAAAAAAAAAAAATTGGGGCTGAGTGTAGTGGCTCACGCCTGTAATCCAAGCACTTTGGGAGGCTGAAGCAGGTGAATCACTTGAGGTCAGGAGTTCGAGACTAGCCTGACAAACACAGTGAAACCCCATCTTTACTAAAAAATACAAAGAATTTAGCCAGGCATGGTGGTGCACACCTGTAGTCCCACCTACTTGGGATGCTGAGTGAGGCAGGAGAATCGCTTGAACCTGGGAAGCAGAGGTTGTAGTGAATTGAGATTGTGCCATTTCACTCTAGCCTAGGCAATATGAAACTTCATCTCAAAAAAAAAAAAAAAGAATTTGAGTAGAAGATTGGAGATGCGCATTGTAGCCAATTTTATAGAGAATCTTCTACAAACAGGTTTGTCACAGGCGGCCCAAATCTCAGAGTGCTGGTTGAGATGCCCACGTCCAGTCAGTGACCCTGGGGAGCATCCCTTTTAGGCATGGCTATTCACTGCCTTCCATTCATTCGGCCCTCACACAGTGTGTCTGGCTGATTTTGCAGTAGCCCAAGCCCTCTGTCTTTTGTCTGTTCCTCCATGCTAGCTCATGCATTGGAGGAACAGACAAGAGAATACCATGCATTGGGTTGCATGATATCCCTCCTCAGACATCTGTAATTCCTTGTTGCCTAAACAGCAGCATTTCGGCTCTCTCCTGGCACACAGGCTTTCCCTGGTCTGACCCTGGTCTGCCTTTCAGGCCCAGCTCCTCCTCATCCTGCCGCATGAAGCTCCTCCACAGTCCACTCACACAGTGCTGCTCCCCATTTCCCACGTTCTCTATGTTCCTACCTCTTTCTTAGTTCATGCTGGTGTCTCAGCTGGCTGGCCCTCCCCTTCTTTGTCTATCCACTTCTCATTTCTCAAAGGTCATTACAAAGGGAGTTTCCTCTGTAAAAAGCCCTTCCCAACCTCCTAGGCTAGAATTAATAGCCTCTGTAGAATACCCCTGGATCATGCTCTTGGGCCTCTTTGATAGCACTCATTTCATTTTGCCTTGTGTTACAGTTAATGGTTGTGAATCTGTTCTCCACATGGACTGTGAGGTCCTTGAAGGCAGTGACCGCAGTGCCTGGGATGGAGCCTTGGTAAGTGGAGTGAAGACAGACAGGTCTGGGAATGAAGCCCAGCTCTGCCCTTACCAGGTGAGTGAACTCCCTGTGTTTCAATCTCCTCACCTATGATATGTGAATGAAAATACTCATTTCATACGATTGCTGGGATGAGGGAACAAGATGACATGCATAGCAAGGTGCCTGAGAGTGTTTGCTCTCAATATTAACATCCTTCCATGCCCCTTGCATATGGGAGGTGCTCAGTACATTGTATCGAAGGAGTCAACACACATGTAATGGGCTTTCTCTCTTTGAGGTTCAATGATATTTCATATTGGAATTGTACTTAATACTTTACAAGATGGAGTGCAAGTGTGATTTGATTTGATTTCCGCAAAGCAATGTGAAGTATATTGGCAGATATTATAGTTGCATTCTGTCAAGGCACAAGGTAAGCTGCTGTAAAACAAGAGGCCTGAAAAGATAGACAGTTATTTCTCTTGCACATAAAAGTCCAGAGGTAGGCAGGCAGGCCGATTAGGGTGGCTCTGCTCCATAAAGTTACGTGAGCACCCTGGTTCCTAATATCTTAGTACTCCATTATCCCATACAGAATTGTTCTCTTCCACATGGTTGAAGCTATTTCATCACCTCAACCAAGTCCAAGGAGAAGGAGGAGGGGAAGGACAAATAGTTTCCTTTTAAGGAAATGACCTGGAAGTTGCACATGTTATTCCATTCACATCTCATTGGTCAAATGTTGGTCATGTGGCCATACCTAGCTGCAAGTGAGTCTGGGAAGCATAATCAATTGCTAGGCAGCCATTTTTTCAGCTAAAATTCAGGGTGGGGGATTCTATTATTAGAATTTAGCTGAACACATTCTTCCATTATTCCTTTTGTAAATATTATTCAGTCAATATTCATAATATTCAGTCAATATTATCAGAAATACTCTGGGAGTACCAAGTGTGTTCTTTGGGATATTCAGAGGTAGATGAGGGGGATCTACTTATAGGAATTTTAAATCTAGGAGGAGAAAGAAGAAAAATAGTAAAAAGAATAAAGGATGTGAGGGAGTGCTTTGTAAGAGGTCCAGGAAGTAAGAATTGGTGGAAGTAAGGAAGTAGCAATTGTTGTGACTGAGGTGGTCAGGTAAGGCGTTACAGTAGAGAGGGAACTTCGCTGGTCCTTGAAGCTTGAAAACCTGATTAAGAGGGACTAGAGGCCATGTGATAATAGTGAGAAGACCTCTGGCCTCACTGGATGAAGGAAGATCTGGGTTTGAGCCTTGGATTTGCCATCTAAAAGCTGTGTGTCTTTGAGCAAATTATACCTCTTTGGGCATCAGTTTTCTTACCCACAAAATCAGAGGTTTTCTTTTCTTTTTTCTTTTTGAGACAAGATCTCCCTCTATTGCCTAGGTTGGAGTGCAGTGGTAAGATAATGGCTCACTGCAGCCTTGACCTCCCAGGCTCAAGCAGCTCTCCCACCTTAGCCCCCTGGAGTAGCTGGGACCACAGGTGTGCATAACTGACCCAGCTAATTTTAAAATTTTTTTGTAGAGACGGGATCTCACTATATTGCTCAGTGTAATTAGTCCATTTTCATGATGCTGATAAAGACATACTGACAATTTACCAAAGAAAGACTGGGCAATTTACAAAAGAAAGAGGTTTAATTGGATTCACAGTTCTAAGTGGCTAGGGAGGCCTTATAATCATGGCAGAAGGCAAGGAGGAGCAAGTCACATCTTACCTGGATGGTGGCAGGCAAAGAGAGAGCTTGTACGGGAAAACTCCCCTTTTTAAAACCATCAGATCTCAAGAGACTCATTCAGTAAGAGGAGAACAGCACAGGAAAGACCAACCCCCATAATTCAATTACCTCCCACTGAGTTCCTCCCGTGACATGTGGGAACTGTGGGAGTTACAATTCAAGATGAAATTTGGGTGGGGACACAGCCAAAAGGTATCACTCAAGTTGGTCTTGAACTACTGGGCGCAAATGATTCTTCTGCCTCAGCATCCCAAAGTGCTGGGATCATAGGCATGAGCCACTGTGCTTGGCCCAGCAGGTTTTCTAATTATCATATAGCTCTAGTGGTCCTGCATAGACCCCCACCCTGACTCCTAGAACCATCTTAGGTGGGGAAGAATTAGCTGGGCTGCAGAGAAGTTGGGAGGGACATAATTAGACTATCTCTAGTTCAACCAGGTATTTCTGCTTTTATGTGTATCGACTGATTAAATGCTTCCTTTGCTTAAATACTGACAAAGGTGATGCCTGAGTTCCCTCTTGACTCTAGGGTTCTCTGAAACAGAACAAATGCAAGGGAGGTAGAATTCATAGCTTCGCAGGTTCTGTAAAAAATGATGTAAGTGTAAAAAATGACATCATCTTTAAAAAATTATATATTCTTCAGCACTCTATATTGATCTTTTTCCTTCAAAAAATGAATATATAGTGGATTTAAAGCAAGCTATTTTTTTTTTGAGACAGAGTTTTGCTCTGTTGCCCAGGCTGGAGTGCAGTGGCACCATCTGAGCTCACTGCAGTCTCTGCCTCCTGGGTTCAAGTAGTTCTTCTGCCTCAGCCTCCTGAGTAGCTGAGATCATAGGCAGCTGCCACCACGCCTGGCTAATTTTTGTATTTTTAGTAGAGTCAGGGTTTCACCATGTTGGCCAGGCTGGTCTCAAAACTCCTGACCTCAGGTGACCCGCCCACTCAGCCTCCCAAAGTGCTGAGATTGCAGGCGTGAGCCACAGCACCCGGCTGCAAGCTATTATTCTTGACATTTTTCTTCTTCGGAAACCATAAAGTGGGGATGATGCCACCTTTTCAGCCACATATGAGGCAGGGAAGACTTTGTGTTTCTAGGAATTACAAGAGGTTTTTGTCAAAGGAAAGGAAGGAGAGTCCCTACTGTGTTTTAGTAGCCCTCCGCTGGTGGCTATCAAGACAGCTTCCAGAGTGGGCAGGCTGTGAGGCCTTGCTGGTCTCACTATGGTGAGGAAAACAACCCTGCTTCCTTCTGAAGGCTGGGACAAACACAGCTATCACAGCTTGCCCTTCTACAACCACTCAACATTGCGGTACATGTGACAGACCTAACTTAACCCCACGCCAAGCCTGATGGAAATCTCCATAATTTTTGTAAGGAGAGATTATTAGTCAGGATTCAGCACAGAATAGAAGCTGCCCAGATATTTTTAAGAAGAAATAGAGTTACTATAGAGTAACTGCCTCTTGTCATGCTCGGTCTTCATGAGCTCAATGCCCAAAGCTTTGATGCAGCTGCCTCACCTCTGCCCTCTCAATCTCATGCAGGCACATCGAATTGGCAGAATATGATTTGTATCCAGCCCCTTAGCTGCGAAGGTTATCTGGGAAATGTAGTTTTTAGCCTTATAGCCTCTGTAGTATGGGAAGACCCACTGGAAGGAAATACTGGGTGCCCAGAGTATTTTCCTTTATTTCCATATCCAGCCACATTTTCCTTTATTTAAACATTTGACCTGAGATCACTAGGGCTGGTAGCATCTGCCAACATTGTTTCTCATAGGGGTTATGAAAAACACTGAAAGGGCATAAGGGACAATGTACACTATGACCACATGGGCCTCCTATCTTTCTCTGTTTCTTCCTATCCAGAGATGGATGGATTGTGGATCTTATGTTTCAGAACTGATGTTTAGAGAATAAAAATAATAATCACAAATCATTGAATGGATGAAATCCTGTTTCAGGATTTAGACAAAAGGACTGTTTCACTGAGAGAGTCTCCTTGGGGAAAAGGGCATATTTAGAAATATGCAATGTTAGAGGAACCTTAGAAATCATCAGTTTAGCATTTTCCAAAGTTTGCCAGAAACAATTTAGATCCACATGATGCTTTACCAAAATCAAAAGCATCTAGTGATTAAATAAGTTTGGGAAACAGTGTGTATCCCCATCCTGAAGAACCATGATGCACATCAGCATATCGGAGGCACTAGGAAGCCCTGCAGTGAGGAATCTGCTTAACTTTGGTCCACTGGTTTCCAGATGTATCTGACCCTAGAACCTTTCCTTTTTTACACAACGCCTGTTAACCTTCTGAGGAATTGGAGTTCGACAGGACATGTGCCGTGAGGACTGGATCTAATACCAATTCCTCTTTTTCCATATGTGGAAGCTGAGGACCAAGGCAATGAAGTTGTTTGTCTATGATCACAGAAATGCCAGGCAATAGAGCTGGGAATACAACTATAATTTTTTTCTTCTTCCTCACATGGCTTTATTGAAATTAATTCTCCTCCCAGACATCTCTAGGCATCAACAAGATAAAAGCTACTAAGAGATAGGCTACTTAAAGAAAATCATACTTTAAACAATATTCCACCAACACGGAAGGATTCTTTTACCCATGGGATCCCACAACCAACTTATCACAAAGGAAAAATTGGGAGAACAGAGAAAGTCAGTTACTCATAGGGGTAGCCTATGTTTATCCCTAAATGATTAGTGTTTTGAGACCAACTGAGATATTCTTAGACCCATCTTTCTGTCAACCAAATTACAGACCATCACAAAATGACACCAAGAATATGAGTTATCACTGTAAAACAAATTATCCTGAAACCTAAAACAATAAACCTTTGTTGTGTCTTGGTTTCTGTGGGAATCTGGGAGTGGCTTAGCTGTGTGGTGCTGGTGTATTCTTTCATGAGGTAACAGACAAAATGTCAGCTAGGGATGCAGTCATCAGAAGACTTGACTGGGGCTGGAGAATCTCCTCTCAAGGCAGCTCCCGCACAAACCTGGGAAGTTCATTCTGGCTGGTAACACGGGGCTTCTGTTCCTTGCCATGTGGACTGCTTGCTATAGGTTGATTGACTGGCCTCATCACAGATATGGTGGTTGGCCTTGGCCTTCCCCAGTAATGAGAGAGAGAGAGAGAGAGAGAGCACAAGGAGGAAGTCTTGGTGCTTTTAAGATCCAGTCTCAGAAGACATATACCATCGATTCTGCCATAGTCTATCTTTATTTATAAGTGAGCCATTATATCTCACTCACACTCAAAAGGAGAAGAGTTACTTTCTCCCTTTTGAAGGGAGAAGAGTCAAAGAATTTGTGGACATATTTTGAAAGTGCAACACCAAGAAAGAGTTGCAAGGGGGAAGGATGCGAATTAAATGAAAAACAGCAAACAAACAAGCAAGGCTGGGTGCAGTGGCTCATGCCTGTATCCCACACTTTGAGAGATCTAGGTGGGAAGATTGCTTGAGGCCAGGAGTTTGAGACCAGCCTGGGCAACATAGCGAGACCCCTATCTTTAAAAAAAAAGAAAAAAAGCCAGGCATGGTGGCTCATGCCTGTAGCCCCTGCTACTTGGGAGGCTGAGGTGGGAGGATAGCTTGAGCCCAAGAGTTTGAGGCTGCAGTGAGCCATGACTGTACCATTGCACTCTAGCCTGTGTGACAGAGCAAGACCCTGTCTAAACAACAACAACAACAACAACAACAACAAAACCCAAGAAACCTTTTGAGGGTAAAAATCCATCTAGGACAAGAACAAATACTAAATGAAAACTCTGAAAGAGACCAGGAATTTAAATTTACATGGGACCTGAAGCCCAACCTGAATCATTGGCATAAACATCCTTGAACTTCTTTGTCAAACAAACCTCTGAATAAAAGAACTTCGGAGAGAAAAGTTCTATTGCTGGCACTGTGACTAGGGGAATAGATGAAGGAGTTGAATAAAGGATAAGCAGTTCGGAGAGCATATCCAATGTTTTGACTTGTATCCTTCCAAGTTAACTTTTCCTTTCTCAAGGCTTTCAATTTTCTAAATGTTGTAATACCCCAACATGACCAAAAGGGTCAAATTCCAGCTCTAGTCTTCAGATTTTTTTTTTCTTCTGAAGGTTTATGTTCATTTCCCTATGCTGTCTGAAAGCGAGATATCATGATCTAATTGCCTAAGAATTTATTTCCAAATAGTTGTTGACGGAGCCTGGAAGTCTCAGAAAGATCAGACAGATCATATTCCTTCCTTTACTCAAGAGTTTTTTTTTTTTTTTTTTTAATTAAAAAAACCCAAAAAAACAAAAAACCAACAACAATTACGATCCCCAAAGAGCTTTCCTTTGTGGCACCTGGGGTATTCAGTCAATCAAGAAGCTTTCCTTGGACATATGATAGAGATGAGAGGTTCTTTAGGACTCATATATTGGAAGCTAAACAGAAAACAGATGCAGTTAAATGCAGTAACCACAAAAGTGGGATTGAGAAAGAGAGAGACAGAGGAATGGGGCTGAGGCTACGTCTGGGCAGTTATGTGCAGTGAGGTGGATTTATTATGGAAAATGTTCCAGAAAAGATAAACTTAAAGCTATTCTAAATATTTGGGGGGCAACTTGTGCAAAAGTTTAGAGAGAAAAGAATGAAGTCTGAATTTTTAGGCCATCAAAGAGATGAGCAAGGGGTGGGCTGGAATATAGCAGGAGATGAGACTGGAAAGGGATGGTGAAGACGGTGATTAAGAGGATTTGAATAAACTGATCTGCAAAGAGTTTGGTATGGTTGGAGCAATTATAGGTTGGTACAAAAGTAATTGTGGTTTTTGCAATTAAAAGTAACTGTAAAACCGCAATTACTTTTGCACCAACATAATACTTTGCAAGAGGAAAAAGTTTTTTCAGTATACTGTCTCTTGAATCAAACCAAAATAAAAAAAAAAGGCCAAACCAAAAAAATCTTTGCTCATTAAGAGACAACAAACTAGAAAGCTAGACCCTCCCTTGTAGGAAGATGTGGATTTAAGATCTTACACCACCTTCTTTTGTTTTGTTTTGTTTTGTTTTCGAGTTTCGCTCTTGTTTCCCAGGCTGGAGTGCAATGGCATGATCTTGGCTCACCACAACCCCCATCTTTTCTCTCTACGAAATTCAAGAGATTCTCTTGCCTCAGCCTCCTGAGTACTTGGAATTATAGGCATCCACCACCATGCGCAGATAATTTTTGTATTTTTAGTAGATAGAGGGTTTCACTGTGTTGGCCAGACTGGTCTTGAACTCCTGACCTCAGGCGAGCCACCTGCCTCCTCCCTAAGGGCTGGGATTACAGTGAGCCACTGCACCTGGACAATCTTTAACCACCTTCTTGGGCAACATCCTATCACCATCAAGACTGAAGATCAACCAACTGCCCATGGAGGAAAGGCTTGAGAGAGGTCAGCAGCTAATTGATTCATTCATTCATTAATTCAATGAGCATGCAGTGAATACCTTTAGGTTTGAGAGGCAAGTAGAATTAAATAAACTATCCATGGGACTGGGACAAGATGGCAGTCAAGTCTTCATTTATCAGCATATGTTTCATCTTTCTCTCCCTCCATGTCGTGGAAATTATTGAAAGATTTTTCAAAACGTTTTGATGAACATTTATTGCGATCCTTCTAGGTATATGTCAGGGATTATGCTAGGTGCCAGGGATACTGAAATGACTGAAGCATCATATTGACAATGGTGACAATTAACTTACAGCTTAAATATTTCCTTTTCTGCTTCTAGCTTCCGGTATGGCAAAAGGGGGAACTATTTCTCCTGGAACGGAGTGGACAAATGTGCAGCAGGTGAGCAGAATCATTTTGCTTTCCAGCTGTTGCACAAGCTGTATCATGCTGACAGTGGCCTCCACCTGTCTAACTTCCTGCTTCCACCAATTCAGAACCAAGATATTTTTATACTCATAACATGGTATAAACCAAGTGCTGATGGAAGTTCTTTGATGCTGAATTTGGAATCAAATACATTCTACTTTCTGAAAATCCATATACTAGGTGGCTACTTCGATAGCAACAGACACAAGATGTAAAATGCAGCAATGGTCAAGGACTTTCTCAGGGGAGGAATCAGTCCTCTCATTTTGATTGAGGAACCTTGGATACAGGGAGGATGAGGGACTAACTCAAAGTCATCTGGCAACTTAGAGGTGAAGCCAGAGCTCCTCAAATCTCCTAGCTCTGAATCCGTCCTCTTTTTATTGAGCCAGTCATGACGTAACCCCCCAAATGAGTGCAGCTTTTAATCTCCCACATCAAGGGGCCTGCTGGCTGGCTACTCATGGATGCACCTCACGGTGGTTTCTGGGTGGTTGATGCTCGACACCCTCTAACTTCATTTCTTTTTTCCTTTGCAAAATGGCTATTGCCCAGAGGCAGCATCTCTTTTCTAAAAAGTGAACATGCCAGAAGGGTTTTTGGAAACTGCCTTGCTATCTGTCAGGAGCCAGATGATTCACAGGGATGAACCAATGCTCATAACAAGGGTACCTGGTTGGATTACCAATTAGCCACCTCCACCTCGGCAGGGTGGTTGGAAAGAAGAGAAAGGCAGTGTTTAGTTTGGGCAAATATCAAGAGGACTTATCATTCTCATCAAGGCATCAGCGCGGCACATCAGACCTCTTCCAGGCCATTCCATTGGAACTTCTCTCTCCAAATGCTCCAGCAAGAGTAAACTTGTTATGCAAACATTGGATCATTGTATCTGAGTGACAGAAGCACCTCTGTGTCGGTGAAAGGGGAAAAACTGGCTGACTCACGTCTGTTTTTAATGATATCTCTGCTGCTGGGAAAATTTGGAAGCTGCAGGTAACATCTTCTCCTTTGGGGAAAAAAACCAAAAAAACAAAAAACGAAAAAAAAACCAAGGCTACCCTGGAATGTGTTAGCTTACCTTTACCGGATGGAAACACCTTGGTCTGGGTAGGCCCTGGGAGGGATATGCAGACTTTTTCTCCATCTGGACCCAGCAAGAAGTGTCCTAGTGTGGGGTTGCTGGAATCTTCTTGAAAATAAGCACAAGCATAGGCGCCGTCAGCAGCGTGCTGGTGAGGGAGACAAACTGAACCTAGGCTGTTCCCCTAGTCCCCTGCAGGCACACACCCATAGATGCCTGTGTGCTTGGGTGCCCACCAGAGTATAGGGTGAGCCCTACTCCTGGGACTCAGCAGAAGTGGGGCTATTGTTCAGGCCCTGGCTTCCAAGGGTCAAGGTGGGGTGAACAGGGAGGGGCTGCCACTTGCCTACATCATGCCTTTGGGAGAGCCCGGCTATCTCAGGGGCTGGGCTCAGTGAGGGGGGCACTCCGTGTGAAGGAAAAGGAACCCCTTTCTCCAGCTGTATACAGTCCAGCCCCTGGGCACAGGGCTTCCTGCTTCCTGCCTCTACTGTCCTGTTCAGTACTCAGCATACATGGCCATATCCTCTAGATGAAATACTGGGATGGCTTGGTGATGCCAGAGGCTCAGGTCAAGGAGGAGGATACTGTGTCTCCCTAGTTACTTAGAAAGATTGAAGGTATTTTTATAACCTGACTATAAAAGTAAAAAGTCATGGCCAGGCGCAGTGGCTCATGCCTGTAATCCCAGCACTTTGGGAGGCCGAGATGGGCAAATCATCTGAGGTCAGGAGTTCGAGACCAGCCTGACCAACATGGAGAAATCCTGTCTCTACTAAAAATACCAAAAAAATTAGTCCAGCTACTTCGAGGCTGAGGCAGGAGAATTGCTTGAACCCAGGAGGCAGAGGTTGTGGTGAGCCAAGATCGCACCATTACAGTCCAGCCTGGGCAACAAGAGTGAAACTCTGTCTCAAAAAAAAACACCAAGTAATTTTTCCCCAACTCTAATTCCAATTCTCAACCCAGAACATTCCTGGTACTAGATTGTGGGGGTTCCCCCATGCCAAGCAATTCTCCTGCAGATGCCAACTGGTTGTCCTATAATTTAATTCAGTTCTGACACTCTACCTGGAGATGGTGTCAGATTCCACAGGGCAGGGCTCAGTCCACAAGACTGCCCCCGACTTCAGGTGCCAATTGCAAGTCCCAGATTGTGACCTGGACTTCTGACCAACCAGCTATAAATTGGGCCTCCCACAATCATCCCTTTCCTTGGGTTCAACAATTTGGTAGAACAGCTCACAGAATAAGGGAAACACTTAACTTACATTTTCTGGCTTATTTATTTATTTATTTTTAAAGAGACAGGGTTTCACCTTGTTGGCCAGGCTAGTCTCGAACTCCTGGCCTCAAGTGATCTACCTGCCTCGGCCTCCCAAAGTGCTGGGATTACAGGCGTGAGCCACCATGCCTGGCCTTTTCTGGCTTATTTTTAAAGGACATTAGAAAGGATATAGTGAACAGCCAGATGAAGAGATGGGCGAGGCGTGGGGAGGATGTGCAGGGATTCGTGCCCTCCCTGGGCCTGCTGCCCTCGAAGCACCTAGACGTGCTCAGCAGAAGCTTATCAACTCAGGTTCAACAGCTAATAAAGAGCTTGATCTCCAGTGCCCCCTCCCCTTTCCTGGAGGTTGTGGCTAGAAGCTCCAGTCTTCTAATCCTCTTATCACTTGGTCCTTCTGGTCACTGGCCCCATCAGAAGGCTACCTACAGGTCTTACCCTATGTCACCTCATTAGCATAAACTCAAGTGTTTTCAAAGGGGCTTATGGATAACAAAAGATACTACTATCATTCATAAAATTCAAGTTTTAGCTGAGGAATAGAAACCAGGGGCAAAGTCCACATTTATTCATATTATACTGCATTTACCTTCCCCATCTCCAAGACTAAGAGGCCAGGAGTCCAGCTACTTAGACTAGCAGACCACCAGCTAGAGTGGATGCTAAGGAGTGCACACATACACACGCACACTTACAAACATACACACTGACATATTCACACAGGGCACACACATATATGTACACTCTCACAGGACAAGTATGCACACACAGCTGCACACATGAACAATGACATACATGAATATGACACATTCATAGGACTGACTATATAGACATGCACGTGCATATGCCGATAGGCATATATGGAGGTGCACTGTGACTCACAGTTGTGCATGCATGCACACAAGCATGCACATGTACTCACATGGGCATATAAGCACATCCCACACACATTCACTTACACACATGCACACACCCAACACACACACTTGAGGCTTCAGGCTGCTCTGTTGTCAGTCCTGGTCCTGCCTTGCGTTCGGTTTTCACCAGATTCTCCCTTTATAAGGATGTCTAAAGTAGGTGTGAGTATCCATTTGCTGTGATTTGTCTCAGGCCAGGCAACTTCCTAGGAAGGCCCCAGGTGGGGACATAACAGTACACCAAATTTGGTTCATTTGCATCAAAAGGGCATTGCTGCCACACAAGTATAAAGGGGAGGGGATTGTGAAAGAGAAGTTCCAACCCTGGAATGATTTCTAGGTGAAAACAATGTCTCTAGGGATAGAGAATGTTGGGGGGAAGGAAGGGTTTTAATTTTGGCTATCTCAGCTTGAAACAGGAGCTGCAAACACAGAATGGAACTATTAATCTGCGAATTTAATTTATGCTTAAAGAATTCAACTATATATGCTTTGGGGAGAGAATGAGATGGGGGTGTGCTGGGCGGGAGGGCGGAGAGAGAGAGCAAGCAAGACTGATTAAAATACTGAGGCATTCTGTCCCTGAGTGATCATGAAATGAAAGATGTGAAATCTGTTGCCTTTGTGATGGTGCTGTGTTCCCATGTGCCTTTCAAAGTGTGAGTTTCTCGCAGCCCTGAGTGTGATTCTGCTGTTAACAGAGATACCTCTTTATACAATCTGTCCCCAAACACATGTCATCTTCATCTGGTGCTCAAACTGAGAAAGCAGCCCACGCCTTCAATGAAGGAGAAACAGCTGCCTGGACCACATGTTCCTGAAAATGGTCTCAGTCTCCAGTGTGGCATCTTCCCAGGGATTTTCAGAGGTAACTTGGGCTCTTAGCAATTTTTGCTCTATGAGCTACCTTTATTTTAGATGGAAGCCCCAGGGCTGCTGTTGCACTGTCCTTGCATTATTGCTCTGTATAAGTGTCTTAGTCACCTCCTTGACTATCCACTCCTTAAGGATAAACACTTTTAGTGGGGCTAAATCCTAGAGGGAATGGCCTTGCCCTGACTCACCCTACTACAGAAATGAGGGTCCTTCCCTCTCCATGAACAGGCTCTACCCTGGGCTGGAGTTGACTTCTGTCTGGGGACTCTTTTTTTTTTTTTGAGACGGAGTTTCGCTCTTGTTACCCAGGCTGGAGTGCAATGGCGCGATCTCGGCTCACCGAAACCTCCGCCTCCTGGATTCAGGCACTTCTCCTGCCTCAGCCTCCTGAGTAGCTGGGATTACAGGCACGCGCCACCATGCCCAGCTAATTTTTTGTATCTTTAGTAGAGACGGGGTTTCACCATGTTGATCAGGATGGTCTCGATCTCTTGACCTCGTGATCCACCCGCCTCAGCCTCCCAAAGCGCTGGGATTACAGGCGTGAGCCACCTCGCCTGGTCCTGTCTGGGGACTCTTTTGCTGGCAGTGTCATCGGGCTCTCTTGCCTCAGGGGGCAAGGGCTATGGCTCAGTGTAGAGTATGCCTGGTAAATCTAGTAGCGTGCCTCCCGCAGAAGCGCAGGGAGCTATGTCATCAAATGCTGCTGCCAGGAGTGAGGAAAGCACAAAAAAGCATGGCAGTACATGTGGGTGCAGCAAACCCTTAAAACATGCACTGACCCTTTAGGAATATGCACGGGGAACGTTAATCCCACTGACTCATCGGAAACAGTGTTGATTACCCCTTTCCAATGGAGTGCCTTTTAGAAAACTTACATCACAGCAGCCATGCGGTCCTGGAAATGAGCAACATACAGGCCATTGGGGGGCGGGGCATCCATACACCTTGGGAATGATTACCTTGACCTGCTGGCAGTGCCTTTCCGGGTGCTCTCACGTTCGGGAAACTTGGGGGGCTGCTGTGGCCTGATGTCCTAGGGCTGTCCAGGCCGTTCTGGCTTGCAGGACGTTTTTTTCCTTTAATCGGGGGTAGAAGATCTAGTGGTGGGATCACATTGTGGGGCGGGGCATCATCATCTTTAAAAACAAAAGGGGAAAAAGCCTGTGTAAGAAAATGGAATCAGCAGGAAGGAGAAGGAAACTCTCTTCTAACTTGGTTGATGGACCTCGGTAAAGACTGCCACGAAGAGCTGGTCAGTATTGTGGCTAAGAGGGAGAAACCAGAGTGGTTTATTATTATTAATAAATCATCCAGGCCGGGCGCGGTGGCTCAAGCCTGTAATCCCAGCACTTTGGGAGGCTGAGGTGGGTGGATCACGAGGTCAAGATATGGAGACCATCCTGGTCAACATGGTGAAACCCCGTCTCTACTAAAGATACAAAAAATTAGCTGGGCATGGTGGCGCGTGCCTGTAATCCCAGCTACACAGGAGGCTGAGGCAGGAGAATTGCCTGAACCCAGGAGGCGGAGGTTTCGGTGAGCCGAGATCGCGCCATTGCACTCCAGCCTGGGTAACAAGAGCGAAACTCCGTCTCAAAAAAAAAAAAAATCATTCTAACACCAGGATGGTTTATTCCAGTCATTCTCAGGTTGTCTCACTTTTCCAGTCCTGCTTGGCATCAGGGATCTGCTCTCTCCCATGGCCAAAATGACATGACTCTTGGCTAGAATCATGGCAGTTCATTTGGAAAATTGCCAAGAACTGAGAGGAACTGAGTGGTGATTGCTTTTATTCTCATCTTGTGGATGAAATCCTGAGATGTAAGGAGCACCGGAGAGGCTGCCACCTGCTTCCACCCCCAGTCTGAAGGCTATGACTAGGGAGATCTCAGCTTTAGAGCTGATGAGATTGTTGGATACAGATTTCTGACCGCAAAGCAGTTTTGCTAGGCAGAGTCCATGATCACATTCCCTCCTCCGGGTTAAAGTACAAGGTGCTACCTTCCAGATGGAAGTCAGAGGGTGTCAGGATTGATGGTAGCGTTCCATAAAGCACACCCTACCCTCTGCCTCTGTTTTCTCCTCTAACACCAATAGGGCCTGCTCTAGGAAGGCTGAAACCCAGGAACCTAAGTGACTGAGGCCTTGGCTTCACCTCTTTCAGTGAGAGTAATCTTTATTTCACTTCTTTCCGAGCGAGTGGTCTTTATTTCACATTTAAAACAACAGTTGTTATTAATATTTGGGTTTAAACGCTGGCTTCATGTGGTCTCAAATTATCACAGACTACTTATTCATTAAAGAGGCAAAGTGTCTTTACATGGGGAAACGGGGCAGACATCACCTTTAACCAAATAATAAAATTTAACATCACCTACAATGGAACAAACTGACATTTTGCATCCCTATGATGGGCTGAGAAGGATACAACATCACCTCTCTGATATTCCTGCCCAAAATGTCTGAGATGAATCTCATTATGAGGAAATAGAAAAATCCAAATTGAAGATAATTCTGCAAAGCAACTGGTCTGTCTTCTTCAAAAATGTCGATGTCATGAAAAACAAGACTGAGGAACTCTTCTAGATGAAAAAATTCTGAAGAGAGGGACCACTAAATGTAGTGCATGATCCTTAGGTTGAATTCTAGGTTGGGAAAAAAAGCTACAAGGAACGTTATTGGTATAAATAGAGAAATGTGATTATGAATTAGAAAGTACTATTACACCAGTGTTTGCTTTCTTTTTTTTTTTGAGATGGAGTCTCACTCTTGTTGCCCAGGCTGGAGTGCTGTGGCACAATCTTGGCTCACTACAACCTCTGCCTCCTGGGTTCAAGCGATTCTCCTGCCTCAGCCTCCTGAGTAGCTGGGATTATAGGCATGTGCCACCACACCCAGCTAATTTTTGTATTTTTAGTAGAGATGGGGTTTTACCATGTTTTTAGGCTGGTCTGTAACTCCTAGCCTCTGGTGATCCACCCGCCTCGGCCTCCTGAAGTGCTGGGATTACAGGTGTGAATCACCAAGCCTGGCTCAAACTGCCTCTTTAGATCCCTTTCTTTCTGCATCTATTCCCAGGTTCAGTCACATGCATAATTTATACCAAGGGGCTTCTGAAACCAGTTTCCTTCTGGCAGAGTGGCAGAGGAGGGACAAGTTTTGGTACAGTGGAAGATGAACAGTATGGAAGGTGAAATTCGCTGGTGTCGTTTGTCTTGTGGCTCCGGCTGCGCACCTGGTGTTGTGGCTCACAAGTAGAAAGGTGCTTTTTTCTCTGTTTGCAGAGTGATCCTTGCCCATATTTGGATTTTTAAAAAAGGAAACACTAAAGTCTTTAGGATAATTAACTCCCACTTAAGAGAGAGACCAAATAAGCCTCTGCCTCAGTAATCAAAGGACATTCTCAGAACCTAAATGTTTTGAGAACGTCCTGACTTACGTTCATTATTTAGTTTATTCTTTTATTCTTTTTTATTTTTTTGGGTATTAGAAAAGTCACTATATTGGGTTTATTCTGAGAGGGAATGTAGTATGATGAGTTAGAACATGGGTTCTGACATTAGAAGCCTTGAGCTCCAATCCTAGTGAGTTCCACTCCACTTATAGTTATGTGACATCAATTACTTATCTCTCAGAGTTGCCGTTTTCTGATCTGTAAAAGGAGGAGAGGGTTGTTGTGAGGAGTACCTGAGAGAATACATGTAAAAACTAAGAGTGCCTGGCACAGAGGAAGAACTCCATACACATTAATGTGCATCGCCTATTTCTGATACCAGTAGTCAGAGGTCATTGACATCTGTGATATTGTCATCTCGCACATGCCTTTTGGAAAGGAGACTCCGTTTTCTGAAAATGGGGAGCTTTCTGAATATGGCCTGTTACTTCCAACCTATCTAACACATAAACACAAACACTTAGATGTACCCATGTGTATAATTTCAAATGTCTACATGTCGTGGAAAGTGGAGTGAATACTTTTATCAATATTATGGACTTTTATTTTTTTTTAGACAGGGTCTTGCTCTGTTGCCCAGGCTGGAATACAGTGGCAGAATCTCGGCTCCCTGCAACCTCCACCTCCCAGGTTCAAGTGATGCTTGTGCCTCAGCCACCTGAGTAGCGGGGATTACAGGCATGTTGCCACCACGCCTGGCTAATTTTTTGTATTTTTAGTAGAGAATGGGTTTCGCCATGTTGGCCAAGCAGAGAACTCCCGACCTCAAGTGAATCCCTCAGCCTCAGCCTCCCAAAGTGCTGGGATTACTAGCATGAGCCACTGCATCCAGCCAATACTATAGACTTTTTAATGAATAGATACCTGTTTATAAACAGATTAGAAATGACATTTCATTGTTTAAAAATACAGGACAAATTAAAAGGCATGCAGCAAATTTTTGGTAGGTTTGATGCTGGTTTTTTTTTTTGTTTTCTGTTTTTTTTTTTTTTTTTTTGAGACAGAGCCTCGCATTGTTGCTGGGCTGGAGTGCAATGGTGCAATTTTGGCTCACTGCAACCTCCGCCTCCCAGGATCAAGTGATTCTCCTGCCTCAGCCTCCTAAGTAGCTGGGATTACAAGCACCTGCCACTGTGCCTGCCTAATTTTTTGTATTTTTAGTAGAGATGAGGTTTCACCATGTTGGCCAGGCTGGTCTTGAACTCCTCACCTCGTGATCTGCCCACCTCAGCCTCCCAAAGTGTTGGGATTACAGGCATGAACCACCTTGCCTGGCACTTGATGCTGTTTTACATCTGCAGTCAGAAAATAGAAGTAGTAAGTTAGGGATATTAGTAGTGAGTAACTTAGTAGTGAATGAGTTAGAGAGTAAGTAATTGGTGAGTTGGACACTTCACTTTGGTGAAGGTAGCTGCTGTCTGAACAAAGGCCATCTTTCAGTGGTTGCTGGTGAACTAACCTCCCTTCCAGCCTCCTTTTCCTTGTATGTGGACCCTTGTGTGTCTTGCCTTGCTTCCCTTCCGAGTGAGGTTCTCGAGGGATGCTGGAGGGAGGGAGGAGCTACCTTGAGGCAAGAGTGAGTCCCTGCCCATGTCCACTGGGAGATGCACCGTTAGCTCCCTTGGCTTTTCTAAGGACGCATGCTTCAAGGGCAGTTTCCACACAGGCCTGGCCTCTTCGTTTATTTCTGGTTCTGACTCAGGGTGTGGAGCACCTAGGAGACAGAGAGGAGGCCAAGTTGTAGCAGGGGTCTGTTGTTTTTGCCTAATGTCTCTTCTTTTGGCGACCTATCCCTTCCCTGCTCACACCATGTGGTTTGGGTGGAGCAGTGTCCACTTGCTGATTCCAGAGAGGGGCATGGAACTGAAGCCTGGCATGAGTACCTCATTGCCTTAGCCACAGAGATTGCTTCCGGGGTGGGCACATCACCCAAACGCAGTAATCAGGTGATTTCTGCGCTTTGCAAGAGCTTTTAAGAGGCATATCCTTTCTATAAAAGTTAACAGGAAGGAAATTAGCATGGAATTGCTAGAAGACATCTTTATCACTTGATTGTAAGAGCCTGCTTGACAGGAAAAACTAATAGAGTTGAGAGACAAGTACTGCACACATATTTTCTGAGGCCTGGATTCAGCTGGTCCTGCAGTTACCTGATTCTTGCATGAACAAATTCCTTCCTTCCTTCCTTCTTTCCTCCCTTCTTCTCTTCCTTCCTTCCTTCCCCCTCTCCTCCTCTCCTCTCCTTCTTCCCTTCCTTCCTTCCCTTCCCTTCCTTCCCTGTCTCCCTTCCCATCCCTTTCCTCCCCTCCCCTCTCTCCCTCTCTCTTCCCCCTTTCTCCCCCCTCCTCCCTCCCTCCCTTCCTGTCTTCCTCCCTTCCATCTTTCCTTCCTTTTTCCCCTTTCCTTTCCTTTGTTTTTGCTTAACACAATTTGAGTTAGGCTGCTGATACTTTTTAAATGAGAGTCCTCATGACATGTAAATGAGGGAAGAACTCCATGGAATCACTTTTTTTCCCCCGCTCTGTGGCCCAGGCTGAAGTGCGGTGGCACAATCTTGGCTTAGTGCAGCCTCTACCTCCCAGGTTCGAGCAGTTCTCTGCCTCAGCCTCTCGAGTAGCTGGGATTACAGGCGCCTGCCACCATGCCTGGCTAAGCTTTTTGTATTTTTAGGAGAGATGGGGTTTCACCATCTTGGCCAGGCTGATCTTGAACTCCTGACCCCATGATCCACCTGCCTCAGCCTCCCAAAGTGCTGGGATTACAGATGTGAGCCACCGCGCCCGGCTGGATTCACTTTCTTTGTACCGGATTCCTATGTTTCATTGTCAGTGTGTTGGCAAGCTCAGTGCATCTGGCTTTAAGAATCTGGTTCATGATGGTCTGGTGGTTTTCCTTACCTTCCTATCAGGGTCATCATGGAAAATAATCAGATCTAACCCAATCTTGTGAATAGTCTTGTCTCTCTTTGTATTAAGTATATCTTTTTATTCTGATGCTTTGACGTCTGGGACCTTACCGTCCCTCCCAGGGCTGGCTGATTCCTAGAGAGAGTAAATGACTTACCTGGGAACATATTTGTCATATGCACCCCAACCAACCCAGAGTTCCTAACCCCCCAGCGGCCTCCTTTATTGAACTCTTATATTCCCAGCTACTATCCACCTGCTGTAATGATCAGAGGACCAGTACCGGACAGCAAGGGACAGCCCCTATGCTACAGAGCTGGCTGAATTATGCAAACTAGACAATTCTAAACCTGCTTAGCTTGCTTGCTCTGCCTTGTCCATATTTCCTACAAAAACCACAATACAACCTCTTGCCTGTGCTCCCTGCCTTCTGCCTCCTGGAGGCTGGTGCACCCCCACGTGGTCCTGCATGGTGTGGCATGTATCCTCCTCTTGGGAACTGTGAGTAACAAACTAACTTTTCAATGCCAACTGTCTCCTTATCTCTTGGCCTCACCACACCTGAATAATAAGACCGACATTTAAAAACAGTGTGTTGTTGATTTTTTTTTTAAGGAGTGGAGTAATTTTTTTGGTAAGGTAAAATCTACATATAGTGAATTGTACAGATCTTAAGTGTACAGTCAATGAGTTTTGACAAATGTATAATCTGCAAAACCAACCCAGAGTGAGAACATTTTTGTCACCCCAGAAAGTTTCTTCATGCCCCCTTCCATTGGTCTTTTAAGTTCGACCATTAGGTGTTTTTTTTTTCTAGTGAGAAGTCCAAACAGCTTTAGAACAAAATGGCTGTCTGGTGTGATTCTTAGGAGTCAAACCATCTAAGAAGCCAGTGACAGTCTCTAGAAAACTCAGACTAGCAACCCTGTCAAAACTAGGATGGCTTATGCCTCAGAGATTCCAGAGAAGTCTCCAGAGCAAGAATATGTCTTAAACAAGAGTACTATGGAAGAGCCGGGTGTGGTGGCTCACGCCTGTAATCCCAGCACTTTGGGAGGCCAAGGCGGGTGGATCATGAGGTCAAGAGATAGAGACCATCCTGGTCAACATGGTGAAACCCCGTCTCTACTAAAAATATAAAAAATTAGCTGGGCATGGTGGCATGTGCCTATAATCCCAGCTACTCAGGAGGCTGAGGCAGGAGAATTGCCTGAACCCAGGAGGCGGAGGTTGTGGTGAGCCAAGATCGCGCCATTGCACTCCAGCCTGGGTAACAAGAGCGAAACTCCATCTCAAAAAAAAAAAGAGTACTATGGAATGACAGGAAGGTCAGAGTTTCTCCTTGTGACACAGGCTGAGAAGTCACTCAGAAGCCTCCCCTAAAAAGCCCACATCCACAATTGGAATTGATCTCCCTTGCTCATATTCTCTTAGAACTTCACTTAGAAGCACATAATCTCCGCCCTGGCAAAGATTGTAGAGGTCATCCCTTACATATAACCTAATTCAAAATCAGAAAAATGACTTTTTGGATGAACTTTTATCTTTCTTTTATAAAATGAAGATGCAAAGATTTTCAAGTGTCCTTTTTACCTCGGCTGCCAGGAAACTCGGCTAAATCCAGTACTTACCTCAAACCATGAATTCATCTCAGATATCTGATAACATCTATTTTTCTACTCCTTTTGACCAGTTTTTTTCAATGTCAATTTTAGTTGTCTTGTTTTACATATTTAGTTTTTTGTAAGCTGCCTGAAAAATTCTTGCCCTTTTATAACACCTATGGTGTGTCTGACTTATTTATGTATATGCCTATCTTCCTTTCTCTTCCACAGCTTAATAAAGTACATTGCTTAATGAAATGTATAGTAAATATTTTAAAAATCCAATTGAATATGATCAGAAAAGATCTTCTAGATTTTATCCTTTTTCCTTCTTTAAAAATTATTCTGTGAAAGGGATGACCATAGGGAAGGTCAGCCATGATGTAGGAGCATGTAGAATTGGCAGGAACCCCATCCCAGGCTCTCAGGAGCGTTCATGCACTCGGGACCTACCTCTTCTGTGGGTTTTTTCTTTTAGGGGGTGTCGGGTGTGGTAATGAATCTCCATTGGGAAGATGAAGAGCTCTGTTGGGGGCTCATTGGTTTTAAATTGGCTCTTCAGGGGCTCCAAGACTCTGGGTGATTCTTCTGAGATAGGAGGTAATTTCAAAGCCTTTGGTGCCTGGAGAAAATTTAAAAACAAAACAAACATGGCAGGTATCCAAACCCTGCTGCCTGCAGGGGCAAATGATACTGTCTCTTATTGTATCTCTTGCACCAGGAGCTGCTGAGAGAGGTAAGCTAATCCAACTGGGAGCCGCTATCTTACTTCAGTGGTGCCACTCGGTCTCCTGGGATCCAGCATATGCCCCTGTTAGTCCTGACTGGGATTCATCTGAGAATTATAAACATGCTAAACATGCTCAGTTTAAGGGCCTTTGGGAGGATATATAGTCTTTCTTTTTCTTGCAGCTGGGGAAACTGAGCCGGACTAAAATGACATAGCTGAGACCTCTTTGTACTGATTGGGAGAAATCTCAGCATATGTTGTTAAGGGACAAAGCAAGGTGCAGAACATTGTTTGAGCAAGGTTTCCCCTAGGGAGGGGCAGGAAAGAGCATTTGTGATTGCTGACCTTATCTAAGCTCTCTAAGCCACAATTTCTTCCCCTGTAAAATAGGAGTAATCATACTATCTACCTCATAAGGTTGGTTGTAAGGATTAATGAGCTAATATATGCAATTATAATATGTTTGAAACTAGGATTCTTTCCTTATTTATTTGAGAGTAGACTCATTAGCATTTATCTAGCCACTAGCAGAAAAATTGAGGCTTTTTCATGCTTATCGAATATGAATATAACTGACAAAGAATTGCTGTGTGTCAGAATCAGCAACTAATTTGGTCCAATTTTTTTCTGCCCCCAAAAAGTGTGTGTGTTCGTGTGTATATGAGCGATTTACTGGGGTAGTAGTAAGAGCCTCCTGTTTCCAATTATTCAGAGGTTGCTGAAGGTTTCTCCTTTTAGTTTGCAACTTTTAACATATGAACTTGGCTCTATGAAATGTATGCATGTGCTCGTTTCAGGAGTTCAGTTTCATAGGAGGAAAAATAAAAGCATCAGGCCTGCTGTTTGCTCCTGGTCCAAGGAAATCTGGGAAGTCAGATACCCTTCTGGTATCTCCTTTTTAGTACTCAAAAAGAAAAAATAAGGTCAGAAGTGTACATAAGCAACCTATGTATTTAGAGTTGGTTGAGGAAGGAAATTCAGCCAAATCTATGCAGGCTAATATTTATAATTTTGAGACATTAAGAAAATGATTAACCAAACACACGCACATAGGATCTTTATGTCCCTGGAGACCTTCACTGTCCAGGTGCCGGCTGCCCACCAACTGCCCTCTTTTGAATACTGACCTTGTGCATTTTGTTTGACAAGGTTTGCATTGAGAAATCAATGTGGAAACTCAAATGATTTGTGTGAGGTATGGCTGACAAGCCAAGACTTAATTTCTTTATTCTAATTAAAAATTTACACAGAGTTTTAATATGGTAGAAAATATTGCTTTCCTCTATGATACCATATGCATGGGTTGAGGGAAGGAACTCCTTTACTCTGGGCCTGGCTCAGTTTGGGGTTGACCCAGGAGTGAAGTTGAGGGCTTTCCTTGGGCTTGTGGTGAGCTTGGTAGGTCAGGCCTGCTGTTCCCTTCTGCACCAAAGGAACCTGGGAAGACAGAGGCCCTTCTGGTGTGGATGAAAAGGTTTAGATGAATGCAGAGACAGAAAATCTGAGAAAATCTTGAACAGACTATAAAAAACCTCCCTCACTGGCACCAGGACCACCTGGAGTGCCCATGGCTACTTCAGGGCCACTTCAGATAACATGAATCCCTACAATTAATCAACATTGCTGTAGATCACAGTCAGATACAACATGCTTTTCTAAAAGCACCTCATCTCTTCTCATCCTTCTACTGTCCCTGAAAGGTTGACATCATTATCTGTATACACAGATAAAGTCACTGTGCTCAGAGCATGTGAGTGACCTGCTCACGTTCCCATAGCTACTATGGGCAGAACATTCTGGATCCCTTGCTTGTCCCCATTTATCACTGGTGCCTGCAAACACTGAATAAAGACCCACATAGAACTGCAAGGCAGGACCGGGCCAGAGACAGACAAGGACATTTCCAAAAAAGAAGGTGTAATTGGCCCCTGGAGGAGGTTGATAAACTTGCAAAATTTCCCCTGCATTTTCAAAGGTAGTAGACTTTCAGTAGAGCCAAACTGCTGCTTGATTCAAGATCTCCAGCATTTTGAATCTGAAGTGGGTTTACTGTTTATAAACTCAGATTCTAGTCTTTAATACATTTACAGATAATCCCCAGCCCCTTAAGAAATCAAAGGATTCTGTTGCTGCTAGGGAGTGTGGTAATAACACATGTTTAAGGTAGAATTGGTGGCAGCTGAAATTCCTTGCACTTCACGATTTTCAACCTTTATTAAATTACTACAGCTCTATCCCAGCTCCACCTGGTAAGCTCAGATGCTAGAGAGGTCAATTCTTTCTTGAGACATTGTTTTGAGTCACCCTATTTCTAGATTGGGATTAATCTCTTTCTCTCCCTGTCCCTGTCTCTCTCTCGTGCATGCACAAACATACATATACATACAACCTTTTTCTTCTTCGCTTCTCCAGGGGGGTTTATTCCGGAGCCAGTGGCAGTTACTACAGGAGGGAAGAGGCATCTTTCAGCAGGAAGCTCCTGTAACAAGTGGCCGATTCTGGCCTTGTGGAGTTTCATGTTCCTTTGTTTATCTTTAAACACAAGATGAGAATGAGAATTTATTAATTGCAGGCATGAGGATAACAGTTGAGTTTTGACTTTTATCACGTTGGTTAATGGGGAGAAAGGCAGGGAGAGTGCTGGGGCACTGTGACAGCCCTAGCTTTGGGGGAGGCAGGTTCAGGGAGCCTCAGTCTCCTGATCTGGGTTGAATACTTGTTGGCTGAGTCAGGTGGTAAAGAGAATGATGAGAATAATAATTAATATGTACTGAGCTCTAAATATGGGGAAAGAATTAGGTAGAATATTTCATATACATTAACTCAATTTCCACAATAGCTTTATGGGGTTATTATCTCCATTTTACAGATGAGAAAACTGAGCATCAGCAATATTGGTTAATATGCCCACAATCACAGCTGTAAGTGGGGGTAACTTGAGCCCAGACAGTGTGATTTCTGGATGACGCAGCTAAGCACTAGGCAAAGAGGTGCCTGCCAGAGTCTCATTCCCACATCCAGCTAGATTCTGGCTTTTCTCTTTTTTTATTTTGAGGCGGAGTTTCACTCTTGTTGCCCAGGCTGGAGTGCAGTGACACGACCTCAGCTCACTGCACCTCTGCCTTCTGGGTTCAAGTGATTCTCCTGCCTCAGCCTCCTGAGTATCTTGGACTAGAGGCATGAGCCACCTCACCTGGCTAATTTTGTATTTTTAGTAGATTACAGGGTTTCTCCATGTTAGTCAGGCTGGTCTCGAACTCGCAACCTAAGGTGATCTGCCCACCGTGGCCTCCAAAGTGCTGGGATTACAGGCATGAATCACTGCGCCTGGCCTGGCTTTTATTTTCTAAGGTGAGTGGCACAAGGAAGTGATGTTCGGGGTGCCTCAGTGTCCTCAAATGAACTCTGCATGATTGGATTCACCCAGATCAATGAGCAAGACATTTGGGCTCTTACCACGGAGATCTGCCTTCCTATTGGGGAAGGCGCCTCCACAGAAGGTAATGTGGGATTTGTCACTCGGGAGCCAAGAGTGATCCATGTGGCCATGCCCAAAGGCCTTCCTGAAGGTTTGCTGTGTCTTTTCACTGTAGCTTTTTTTGAAGCATGTAAACGAAGGTGATTCTCTGTTGACGTGTCCTAGGGAAGGCAGATACACATTCCTGTAAACAGGCTGTCATAAAGGGGCAGAGCAGGTTTCTTTAACAGTTAAGTCCTTGTAGCTAAGCTTGTGGTTTCAAAGATGAAATTTCTTTTGCAGATTGGGAAGAAAAATAAGGCAAGCTCTCTGATGCTGTTTATTACAATAAAACACTTTATTATTAATGATAAAATGATACTTAGCCATGCCTGACAGATAGTGCTATCTGGTGAAAAAAATTAAAAATTTTGATTAAAAATCAAAATAAAGTGCTAGTATTGGTGTCTTCATCCATCATGAAATGTTTCTTAGGCTGAAGGCAGTGGCTCACCTCTGTAATCCTAGCAGTTTGGGAGGCCGAGGCAGGAGGATTGCTTGAGCTCAGGAGTTTGAGACCAGCATATGCAACATAGTGAGACCCCATCTCTACAAAAAATTTTTTTAAAAATTAGCCAGGCATGGCGGCACAAACCTGTAGTCCCAGCTACTCAGGGGGCTGAGGCAGGAGGATTGCTTGAGCCCAGGAGGTCAAGGCTGCAGTGAACTGTGCTAGTGCCTCTGCACTCCAGCTGGGCAACAGAGCAAGACCCTGCCACCCTCCCCTGCAAAAGAAGAAATGTTTCTTCCCTCTGCCTTTCCATTCTGTGGCTCTTGTTCTCCTTGGCATATGACCTTCTTGTAAGTCAAATGAGTTTATTCAGGATGGGAGCAGATGTTGTCTATGTTGCTCTGAACAATTGTTACCTTGTACACACACACACACACCCCGCCTTAGAGTTTAGAAAGTGTTTCTACATTGTAACTCATTTAATCCTCACAATAATCTTGTGAGACATATGATAATAGCTCCATTTTACAGAAGAGGTTAACTCAGGCTCAAGGTTACGATTCTTGGACAGGCTCATCACAACTAGCAAAAAGAAGGACCCAAACTAAGGCTTTTCTGAGTCTAAGGCAATAGCTGTTTTCCAAACAAGATTAACAGCTGCCAAGATGGGCAAAGGGTCAGGGGAGAATCTGTGGTTACATAAGTTTGGAAAACCTAGAGTTTAACCAAGTTAAGCTGGTGACTATGTTACAGAGCTTCTTGAAGCCCACTGTATCTAACTACCCATTTCCAGGAGGAGAAGGTATGCAGCACTTCTCCAGCGTATTTGCCTATGAAACTCTTATTTCTTTATTTAGACACAGAGTTTTGCTCTGTTACCCAGGCTGGAGTGCAGTGGCACGATCTTGGCTTACTACAACCTCCTCCTCCTAGGTTCAAGCAATTTTCCTGCCTCAGCCTCCTGAATAACTGGGATTACAAGTGCCTGCCATCATGTCTAGCTAATTTTTGTATTTTTAGTAGAGATGGGTTTTGCCATGTTGGCCAGGCTGGTCTTGAACTCCTGGCCTGAGGTGATCCACCTGCTTTGGATTCCCAAAGTGCTGGGATTACAGGTGTGAGCCACTGCACCCGGCCAAAACTTTTTAAAATGGAGCATCTTGCAATGCTAGAGTTCCGTAAGTGACACTTCGGGGAAATGATGGTCAAAAAGGTCAAAGTACTCTTCCCTTCTCCGGAGCTCTCAAGAAATGGCAAATGGAGAGAGAATCCTCTCTGTAGTCAAGAACAATGAGAGAGGAGAGCCCATTAGAAGTGGTACCTCTGGCCAGGCACGATGGCTCATGCCTGTAATCCCAGCACTTTGGGAGGCTGAGGTGGGCGGATTGCCTGAGCTCAGGAGTTCGAGACCAGCCTGGGCAACATGGTGAAACTCCATCTCTACTAAAATACAAAAAGTTAGCCAGGCCTGGTTGTGCTTGCCTGTAGTCTCAGCTACGTGGGAGGCTGAGGCAGGAGAATTGCTTGAACCTGGGAGTTGGAGGTTGCTGTGAGCCAAGATCATGCCATTATACTCCAGAATGGGCGACAGAGTGAGAGTCTATCTCAAAAAAAAGAAAGAAAGAAATGAAACAAATGGTACTTCTGCCCGTGTTTCATCTTCCGGCCAGGACTGCTTCCTGAATGGTAGCAAGCGAGTCCCCTGAAGGCCGTGGTTCTTGGCTAGAGGGTCCTGGTCCAGGTGTCCAGCAGCTTCAGCTTCCCCTTCATTCAGGCCCTGTTGACCTGCAAAGGTGAACAATGGGTCAGCTTGTCACCCCCAAAATGGACATGGTGTTCTTGCTGCCTGCAAACTGCCTGCCTTCTTGCTTCTCTTCTCTGAGTGAAAGTGCTCAAGGCCTTCCCTTGCTCTCCCTCCTCCCTTATTTCTGTATTTCTTATGCTGCCTCCTCAGAAGTGGCAGCCAGGTTTCTGGAAACAGCTGCACTAGCATTCAGGAGGCTCAGAGGTGAGTCTTCGTTTCTTGGACACAGTTTCCCCATCTATAAAATGGGGATACAGATTTCTTGCCCTTATTTCCTTGTAGAGTTATCCAGAACTAAATAAGATAATGAATGTCTCCCTTTGTAAACTGTGAGGGATTAGTGGATGACAGTGGTGTGCTTATGGTGGTGTGATGTGCAGTCTGCTCTGTTGTCATGGAGGGCTCAGCGTGAAGCAAGCTCTTGGGATTCCTGGGCTGTCTCCTAGCTCTTTACTTGTGGAAAAGCCTCTGCTGAATGCACTGAGTGGGACTGCTGTTTAGCTCTCTGAACTTATCCTGTCTGCAACCTTCAGGAAGGATCTGAGTCAACAAATGACTCCAACATAGGTAATGAATCTTTCATCAGTGGTTTAAGGGGTCCTGCAGCTGTTTTCATCACTTTCTCAAGGTAGATTTATTGCTGAAACAGTCTGGCACAGCTTCCTTGTTTGGAGCCAAGCTTTAGCAATACCTTTATTCCCAGCATGTGGCTCCATGGAACAATGTGGGGTTGTCTTTCAGCCAGGGGCTCTGGAAGGCTTCGGGGGCTTGTGCGTGATGGAGCATAAGACTTCTGGGAGCTGCTCCTCCTCTGCCTCCAGCAGCCAGCCTCAACTTCCTTCTTTGCTCCCCCTCATTATTTCCATCCTTGGTGTCACTGGGCCAAGAGTCAATTGCCCACAGGTGGGGCTACTCCAGCCCTTCTTTTTTTTTTTTCTTCTTAAACATCATCATCTGATTCTCCTTCCTTTGCCCACTGGCTCCTGGAGGCTGTGCTGGATGTGAACTGAGGCTGAGTGTTGGTGGAAGAAATATAGGCTCAGGCTCAGGTTCAGGTTTACAGGGTCTGCTCTGGTTTTAGTGGCCCAGGGAAGTCTGATGGGCTGGGGACTCATTAATATGAGGTGACTTGGGGCTACATTAGGTCTGCTCCTAAGAGGACCTCAACTTCATACAGACTGCAGCACTAAAGACCTTCTGGGATATTCTAGAATGAGTCCTTGTAGAATGATTCCTTGGGGTCAAACCAGACACTAACTAGGTCCATCTTTCCTGGTCAGATTCACCTGGAACCAGATGCATGTCTGAGGTTGGAGGAAGTGAAATTCTAGCCAAGTGGCCACTTACCTACTGAATAGTCTTTTTTTTTTTGGTGGGGTTGGGGGATATAGTCTCACTCTCTTGCACAGGCTGGAGTGCAGTGGCGTGATCTTGGCTTACTGCAATCTCCACCTCCAGGTCCAAGTGATTCTCCTGCCCCAACCTCCTAAGTAGCTGGATTACAGGCATGGATCACTACACCTGGCTAATTTTTGTATTTTTAATAGAGATGGGGTTTCACCATGTTGGCCGGGCTGGTCTTGAACTGCTGGCCTCAAGTGATCCACCTGCCTCAGCCTCCCAAAGCGCTGGGATTACAGGCATGAGCCACCGTGCCCAACCTGAACAGTTTTACACTTTGGCTATCTAAGTTGGGGCGGGGGCATTGTGAGTAGGGGGATACAGAAACAATCTTTCCTTTGGTGATATCCCAGGTGAGTTTGAATTTGTGATTCATCCAGTGGAAGGGAAAACAAGAATTCCTTTCTTAGTAAACATCATCATCTGATTCATTTATCTGTGCTTCATAGAAACAGGTTTGCAAGCAAAGTATTGGAAGCTTCAGTTGTTGAAAGGAGACCACAAAACTTAGTCTCTCTGTATCTCAAATATGGATTCAGATAATCCAGATAATGTGCATTGGAGTAGCTCTGTCCTCTCCTGTGATTTTTCACAAACAACCCAGGGAGGAAGGAATGCAGACTTCAGTATTTACATTTTACAGATGCGCAAACTGAAGATGCAGGGAGCTTAAGTGACTTGGCCAACATCACAGTGTTGGAGGACATGGGATTTGTAGCTGGGACTTTTGCTGCTGATTCAGATAAAGTGTCAGGCAAAGAGTGGGAAGCCAGTGGAAGATAAGGTTCAAACAAATGAAAACATCAGTCAGGGTTCAAGTTACAGCCACTGAACTATTTTTGTTTCTTTTAAAACATATTTTTTTGGCTGCTGTGATTATGGGCAATTGGGCATTACAATTAGTAATTACGCTTAAAACACTAGCTAAGGAGGCATCATGAACATTTAATGAGCACTTAATATGTACCAGCTTCTATTAATACATTATCTCATTTAATTCCCACATGCAACCCTGTGAGATAAAGATAGGTATGGTCATCTCCATTTTATAAATGAGGAAACCGAGGCCCAGAGTGGCTATATGGCTTGGATTCAGTGCAAATGGCCACATGTTTAATCATTATTCGATACAGACTCTTTGTTTTCTGCCTGATTGTAACAGCTTCTTGGTATATGGCATCAATTAGGAAAGTCACTTTATCCCTCAGGTGTGCAGTGTTAATCCACCCATAAAATGAAAGCTCCGAGGCTGAGCACAGTGGCTCACACCTGTAACCACAGCACTTTGGGAGGCCAAGGTGGGAGGATCACTTGAGAAAGGAGTTTGAAACCAGCCTGGGCAACATGGCAAGACCCCATCTCTACAAAAAATATAAACATTAGCTGAGTGTGATGGTGTGCTCCTATAATTCCAGCTCCTTAGGAGGCTGGGTGGAAGGATCGCTTGAGCCCAGGAATTCAAGGCTGCAGTGAGCTGTGATCACATGACTGCACTTCAGCCTGGGTGACAGAGCAAGAGCAAGAGCTTGTCTCTAAAACAAAAACAAAAAAAGACTCAAGAAAGACTCAGTTGAAATGTTTAATGACCCCAGGCTCTGAGAACCTGCCATATTCTTCTCTAGTCATTCAATAAACCAGATTCTCTACTTATCCTGACCAGATCATTTCCCCAAGGATGGAGCTTGGTCAGATACTGCCATTGTTTCTGAAAAATATATATTTTAGAGACAGGGTCTCACTCTGTCACCCAGGCTGGAGTGCAGTAGTGCCATCATACTGCTCACAGCCTTGAACTCCTGGGCTCAAGTGATCCTCTTGCCTCAGTCTCCCCAGTACCACCATGCCCATCTAAAATTTTAAACTTTTTGTAGAGATAGGATCTCACTGTGTTGCCCAGACTGGTCTCAAACTCCTAGCCTCAAGCGATCCTCTCTCCCTGGCCTCCCAGAACATGAGCCTCAGGTATGAGCCACTGAGCCTGGCCAAAAATCTTACGTTGGGCTCTTGCTCTTTTATTTTCTCAAGACTCTGCTACCAGCCAAGGCCCTCGTCTTTGCATATTACTGCTACCCACTTGTCTTCTCCCATCTCCCTTACCAAAGGCAACTTCTGGCTCTTTTAATGCTTCAAGTTCCATAGAATAATATTGACAGGGTCAATCCCCATAGTACTAAACAGTTTACAGGTAGCTCACAAGAATTTTCTATGTAGCCACGATGTAGATCTTATTGTGCATATTACAGGGACGAGCAAACAGAAGCTCAAAGAGTTTAAGTGACTTGCTTAAGATCTTACCCTAGTTAGTGAGAGAACAGCCATTTTGATACACATTTCTGGCTCCAATCCTATGTATATATTTCACATTATATTGCCAGAATAATCACAGGATTAAGGAATATTAAAGCAGAACAGATCTAAGAAATCATCTAAAATCTAGAGTCTAGACCTATACTGCCAAATACAGTAGCCATCAGCTGCATGCGGATATTTAGATGTAAATTAATTAATATAAAATAACATAAAAAGCTCAGTTTCACTGTTGTACTACTACATTTCAAGTGCTCAATAGCCACATGTCGCTAATGGCCACTTTATTTAACAGCACTTATGGAACATTCGATCACTGCAAAAAGTACTGTATTGGACAGTACTGGTCTGCACTAACCCCTCATTTTACACACTGAGGGCTATGCAACCCAGAATCCCAAGACCTCATTTTGGGAAACTCCATTTTAAAGTGTTAACAGTCCAAATATCCGAGAAGTGGCCATAAAATCAACATGTAAATCAACATGTACCTTGTTCAAAAGATTTTCCTTGTTGAATCCAACATGAAGGGAAGACAGGCAGGAGATGGTATTTTGGGGGTACACCTGAAAGATCCTGCTGTGGCCTGAGCTTCTTTGGTACATTAAGTTGACTGTCCTGGAGCAGCACAGAATCCTTGATGTATCCTGAAGAGTAGGTCAGGAGGTATTGATAGAAATAGTGGACACCAACTTCAAGTTCTTGGCAATAACTACAAGGTTCCTCACTTGCACTAGTCTTGGCTTTGGACATTGCCCATTAGGGAAGACAATTAGAAGATGAGGGAGATTAAAAAATCAGATAGAATGCATAGAGGCTTCCCTGTTCAGTGTCTTGGGTGCTTCTGGTTCTGTGCTACATGTGTGCTTCCTCCACCCCATCATTCCCAAGAACTGGCTCTCCCTGGTAGAAGGAACATGGCAGCTTCTTTGGGATGAAAAGCTCCTCCTGCCTTAGGAGGAGATCCAACGGTAGTGGATATATCCTGTTTGTTTCTGTAGGCCCCATGGTCAGCAGCTTCCTCAATCCGGTCATTCTCTAAGTATTCACTGAGGGCTTCCCTATGAGCCCACCCCTTGGCCAGTGAAGTAGATACAGAAGAACCAGACTTGGGCCCTTTTAAAAGGCACTCATATAGCTGGGTGTGGTGGCTCACACCTGTAATCCCAGCACTTTGGGAGGCTGAGATGGGAGGATCACCTGAGGTCAGGAGTTTGAGACCAGCCTGGCCAACATGGTGAAACCCTGTCTCTACTAAAAATAGAAAAATTAGCTGAGTGCAGTGATAGGCACCTGTAATCCCAGCTACTCAAGAGGCTGAGGCAGGAGAATCACTTGAACCTGGGACGGGGAGGTTGTAGTGAGCCAAGATTGTGACACTGTACTCCAGCCTAGGTGACAGAGCAAGACTCCGTTTCAAGGAAAAAAAAAAAAAAAAAAAAAGAAGAAAGCACTCATAGTCTATTGGAGAGACAGAGCTCTCTTGTGTTCTGTATGACTCTGAGTGTTAGTGTGATGTAAGGTCAGAAAACAAGGAGCTTGATAATGACTGGAGTTGTTAGCAAAGACTTTGTAGAAGATGTGGACTTGAAGGGTGGGGAGGATTAATCATAGGGGTGTAAAGAAGAAGTCCCAGAGAATATATATATCAGTATCACAAAGTGGGAAGCTCTGAGATGTGCAGGAAGAGGGTGGCAGGGGCCATTGGGCTGGTGAGCTCACACTTGATTCTTGCCACTGTGCCTCCAGCTTGAGGGTCTTACCTTCAAGAGGGACTTTGGCAAGGAATTATGGCAAGTAGCTCAAGAATGTGTGTGTGTGTGTGTGTGTGTGTGTGTGTGTGTGTGTGTGTGTGTGTTTTCTAAAACCACATGTTTTAGCCATACTCCATGGAAGACTCAGAGACATTTTTTGAGATTAAGAGGGGTCTTCATTCTGGGGAATGTTGGATCTAGGCTATGGGAGAGTGGCCTGCTTTGCCCTCTGCCCCACCCAATGAGAAACACTTCTTTGGTTAAAAGACTCTTTCTCACAAGTGTCAAGTAAATGGAACTGCCTGTAACTGTGGAACTGCTCTGGAAGTAAAACCAATGACTGGACACGCCCACAACTTTCATTTTGCTTCAAGTCACCACTTACTAGGGGAGAGAATTGTTTTCTCTTCTTTCTCAGGGTAAACCTATAAAGCAGGAAGAAAGTCAGTCTTTCTCTGGTCCTGCCTGTTTGCTGTTGCTGAAGAAATGGCAAACAGCTGACTTGGGCACTGGCACATTCTCTGCTCACTCTTCTCAATCCCAACAGGTTTGCCAAATAAAATACAGGATGTCCCAGTTAAATTTGAATTTTAGATAAACAATGAATACTTTTTTAATAGAAGTATGTCCTGATGATTGCAAGTGTAACTGTTTATGTATGTTGGGGGATAGGGGTGGGTATGCACATGCTAAATCTGGCAACTCTAATCCCCAACCACCTCCCGTTTTTGTTTTCAAGCATTTACAGAGTGCATTTAGGGTCTGTTCAGAAGGGTGTCCATCACACACCTAATGGATTGTGCTGGAGAACCGCTATCTTTAAGAGGAAGAGTCCTAACATTTTACTTCCGGGAGGGCATGGGATCACCTCAGATGGGGAACTAAGGAATGTTGGGAAGAATGTGGAACTGGGGGTGCAGAGTGGATGTGACTTCTGGTCCCAGCTCTGCTTTTGACTAAATGACCTTGGACAAATTACTTTGTCTCTCTGGGATTCTTTTTCCTTATTTTGTAAAAGATGGGGGTTGAATTGGAGGGTCTCTGAGTGGAGAAGATTGGGAAGAAAGTTCTGGCCTGGATGTGGCAAGCGAGGCTGCTGAGGGGGAGAAATGGAAGTGAAGGCAGGACTTCAGGCTGTCCCTCCCTCTGCAAATGCGCCAGAGGACAAAGGGTGGGAGCTGTGAAAGAGGCTTGTGAGCTACCAAGTGTGGGGACTTTGCTTTAACACAGAATTGGGCTTGAAATCCTGGTGTTTTAGGTCTTGATGAAAAACACACTCTCACACCGGAATGGGAGGTAGTGCAGTTTGGGGTGTGCCCCCCTCCCATTTCCCCACTGACCTGCACACCAGAGCCTGTACATGGCGTCTGGGGGCCGAGTCTGCAGGAGGCCTCGGAGGTATCTCTTGGCTGAATGCCCTGGCTGGATCTGCCGTTGGGCCTGGCTCTCCAGCTGACTTCGGAAGTGGAGGTATGGTTGCCAGGCTCTGTCCTGCTCCCCCTGTTGGGATACCAGTCAGGAAACCACACAGCTGTTGGGCCCTGAGCTGCCCAGTGATACAGGCTGGTTGGTACAATCTTCATCAGTAACCCAGGAAACTCCCAGAAGGTGCCAGAAGGCACCAAAAACAGATGCCTCGGCCAATAGACATAAACCAAGAGCTCACAGAGCAAAGCTCTGAAAGGCCCCTGCAGGCTTGCAGTTGGAAGCAGAAGGAGAAATGACATATACCAGACCCCATCTTGAGATAGAGCCTTAGGAAAGGATAAAAGCTTCAGAAGAAAACACATTACCTAGTTCAGCCTGTGGAAATCATTTTAGTATCTTCAAAAAATGGTTCTGTACTATAATCGGAAAGCCAGCTCACAAATCTGCATTGGCATTCAGTGTTTGTAATATGAATAATGGGACAGACAAATCATATCCATGTTCACAGGGAGCCTGGCATTTTGAAAATATCTGGCTCTGATGCATTTCATTTAAGCTGGGGAGAATTTTCTGGGAACCTACCTGCCAAAGTCAGTGCCACTGTGTAATACATCTTGGGGAATAAATATGAATAATAACATCTTACAATTGACTAGAAATTTATGTTATATATAGAACTTTATTTTATTTATTTATTTATTTTTTAAATGGATTCTTGCTCTGTCACCAGGCTGGAGTGCAGTGGCGCGATCTTGGCTCACTGCAACCTCCGCCTCCTGGGTTCAAGATATTCTCCTGCCTCAGCCTCCTGAGTAGCTGGGATTACAGGCATGCACCACCATGCCCGACTAATTTTTGTATTTTTAGTAGAGACAGGGTTTCACCATGTTGGTCAGTCTGGTCTTGAACTCCTGACCCCGTGATCCACCCATGTTGTCCTGGGATTACAGGCATGAGCCACTGTGCCTGGCCAGAACTTTCACCTCAACTGCAATCCTATAAGGTAGACTGAGTTACTACAACCACTTAAGTGACGTAGAAACTCTCAGAGGATGATTGCTTAGGCACAAGAATAGCAAAAGTGTGACATTTGTATTGACATCTCTCACCCTCCCCAGTGCCCATGGCAGACATCCCTAATCAATCACAGCATTCTTGATTGCTGAACTGAAGGTGATCTCAGAATCCACTTTCTCCTTAAAAACATTTTTGAAACTGAGGTATAATTTATATAACATGCACAGAGATTAGATATTCGTTTGATAAATATTGACAATTGTATATACCCTTGTAAACATCACAGAAAACAAAATACAGAATACTTTGATCCACCTAGGAAGTTCCTCATGCCACTTTCTAGTTAGTGTCCTCCTACCCACTAGGTAATTGCTATTCTGATTTCTAACACTGTGGACTGTTTTTTTCTGTTCTTGAACTTCATATAAATGGAAACATACAGCATATATTCTTGCATCCTCCATGAAAGTGATCCACACCGTGTTCCAGTGAGAACTGGCATGAGAGATGAAGTCCACTTAGTCCCCTTTGGCTAAGCAGCTCTCTCAAGGCAACAATATAGCCTGGAAGGATAGAGGGCAACTGTATGGATCCAGTTAGCAGTGGAATTGGGCTTGAATCTGGGGCTTCCAAATCCACATCAGGGCAAAGACTCTTGTTCTTTAAGAACTGACCATCTCATCAAAGGACCAGGATTTAGCACCATGAACCGGCTTGATGTCAAAACAAGAAATAAAAATATTTCAAAGCAGGTGCCTCAGTGAGTATCCCAGACTGTAAGAACTGTAGTCTAGAGAGGCTAACATTTTCATAAGTGTTAGGATGAGGTAAAATCTGACTCCACAGGCTTGAACAATGAGAGAGAAAGTTTGTTATCTCATGTAACAAAAAGACCAAAGGCTAGAGAGTACCAGGGTTGGTTAATTCAGTGGCTCAATAGCTCTGGCATCCTGAAACTCATGCTGTAGGCACCAAATCTGTGTCTACCCTTCAGAACGGTCTTTCTCTTCAGTCTTACGGGCCTGCAGAGGCTGAACAATGGACACAGGGAAACATCAAGCTGGTCTAAAAAGCACAAGCCGAAGAGTGGGAAGGAGGCAGCCTGTGAGAAAGCCTGGAAAAGAGCCCTGGATTTTAGGGCCAGAGTGCCTGGACTCCAGGCTGGCTCTGGTTCATGGGAACTCTGTGATCTTTGGTGAGCTCTGGAACCTTCTGAAGCTCTCTCTAAAGTGGAGCTAATAGAGTTAGAGGGGTTGGAGAGTGCATGGGTTCTGGAATCAACCTGACTCCGGCTTCACAGTGCCTGACACATACTAGGGGCTCGATATTGTGGGGAAATGAATAAATGAACACACAGTTCCAATCCCAGCCCCACTACTTCTCAATCTTCTGCGTTATAGAATTTCACCCATAATACTGACATAATACCTCTTTTTTGGTGTAAATGAAAAAATGTAAGTGAACGGTGTCCCACTGAGCCAGGTTATGGTAAGATGAGAGGTGTATCCTCTCCCTGCCTGTCCTGCACTCGTGAAAGCGCTTTCTCATCTCTCAGCAGTCCTAATGGGAGCCCAGGAGAACATGGTGGAGAGAGTGGAGGCTTTGCCTTAAGATGGGATCGATCTTGAGAGCTTGGTTAATCACTTCTTTCAGTAATTTTACTCAGTGTCCTCAGTATAAGGATCATATGAGCTGAGGTATGTAATATGTAATGCTTAGCATGTAGTAGGTGGTGAACCAACTATGTTGGTTCCCTCCTTTCCCTTGTCCAGGGGATGGGAGACTATGCTAACTGCCTAAACTTTTCCCCCGCTTACTTCTTTTTGCTAAGAGAGCCCAGTTTTTTGTCAGCAGATCTCCTTTCCCAAATAGTCATCCCTAATTGTCCGTGGGGAATTGGTTCCAGGACCTCTGTGGATATCAAAATCTGCATATGCTCAAGTCCCTTATATATATATATATATATGTGGTATGTATATATATATATATAATGGTGGTAGTAATATTTGTACGGTATAGCCAGTCCACATCCTCACGATACTTTACATTGTTTCTAGCAACTTATGATGCTGAATACAATGTAAATGCAGTATAAATAGTTGTTATACTGTTTTTTAGGTTTTTTTTTTGTTTGCTTTGTTATTTTTTTTTTTCCTGAATATTCTTGATCCCTGGTTGGGATCGAGACATGGAGGGCCTTGCTTTCCTAGACTCTGTCATGTCTCAGAATGGCCAACAGACCTAGCTCTGGCCAATGAAACTAAGAGGAAGCTACTTGGAGCCTCTGGAAGGTCTTTGATTCCTTAGAGAAGGAACAGCTGTGCAAGGGTGGCTTGGTGGCCCTTTTATTCTGCTTTGAACCCAGATTGACCTCTGGAAGTAAAGAACCATCTTGTGAATGTGCACTAACAATCCTAATAAGAAAAACCAACATTAAAAGGATAGTGGAAGGAAAAGATAGCACTTGAGTCCTTCATGGCATCAGCAAGAAGCTGAGCAAGCATAAAACTCCTACCTTTCCATTTTGTGTTACTTGAGATAATCACATCTCTTTATTGCCTAAATCAGGGGTTGGCTTTTTTTTTTTTTTTTTTTTTTTTTGAGACCATCTTGCTCTGTTATCCAGGCCGGAGTACAGTGGCGCTAACTCAGTTCACTGCAACCTCTGCCTCCCAGGTTCAAGCCATTCTCCTGCCTCAGCCTCCAGAGTAGCTGAGATTGCAGGTGCGTGTGACCACACCCGGCTAATTTTTGTATTATTTTGTAGAGACAGGATTTCACCATTTGGCTAGGCTTGTCTTGAACTCCTAATTTTAAGTTATCTGCCCATATTGACTTCCCAAAGTGCTGGGATTACATGCATGAGCCACCATGCCTAACTTGGCAAATTATTTTTTTAAAGGGCCAGATGGAAAATATTTTAGGCTTTGCAGGCCATATGGTCTCTTGCCACCACTCAACCTGTCCTTGTAGTGCAAAAGCATCCACAGACAATATGTAAACAAATGGTTATGGCTGTACACAAACAAGCAATGGGCAGAATTTGGCCAGTGAGCTGTGTTTGCTGATTCTCCAACTTCAACCATTGATAATCATGAAATCTGTTGCTTGCAGCCAAAAGTATTTCTGATATGTGGATACAATATAATTTAAAGCTGCTACAAATTTCTGATATGTGGATACAACAGATTTAAAGCTGCTACAAATTCAAGGGATGGGAAACAAGCACTGGAGAAAAGGGGATGATGAAGATGGATTGATAACTAACAAAATCACATCAAATGAGTCCAAAAAGCACAAGCGGCAGAGTGGGAAGGAGACAGCTTGTGAGAAAGCCTGGGAAAGCACCCTAGATTTAGAGCCAGAGTGCCCTAAATCAAGGTTCAAGAGAAAAGAAAGCGTGGCTGACTATTCAGTTGGCTTTACTCCTTGGGGACTTATGAATTAAATGAATGCTTAGAATTAAAACATAGAACATCACCTGCTTCTTAATGTCTGGAAAGTTTATGTGGCAGGTACTTCAAATGCAAAAAGAGCCTAGAAATTCAGTCTCATGTGGTCTTGAGGCTTTTTCCAGAGGACATGAAAGAAAGAATTGTAGAGATGATGGTGGAAGCCAAATGACACTTTCACACACTCCATTTTTTCACTCAGCCATACGATAGATATTGTTGGGTACTTTTTATATGCCAGGCACCATGTTGGGCTCTGAAATATGGAGCCATTACACCAGAGGCCTTTTCTGGGTGAATTGGAACCTCATTTCTTTTCTGTGAATCTTTGCTTCGACTGACTTTTCTCTGAATACAGTAAGGACCACCAGCCTCTTCCAAGATGCTGTGGCCCCTGTGCAGATGGGATGATGTGCTGTTCGAGTCTGGACAGGAACCCTTGTAGTTTCTCATCAGTGGACATTTCTTTCCTTCCTTCCTTTTTTCTTTCCTTCTTTCTTTCCTCCCTCCCTCCCTCCCTCCCTCCCTCCCTCCCTCCCTCCCTCCCTCCCTCTTTCTTTTCTTTTCTTTCTTTCTCTCTTTCTTTTTTTTCTTTTCTCTTTTTTAATGGAGTTTCACTCTTTTGCCCAAGCTGAAGTGCAGTGCTGTGCTCTTGGCCCACTGCAACTTCCGCCTTCCAGTTTCAAGCGATTCTCCTGCCTTAGCTTCCCCCATAGCTGGGATTACAGGCACCTGCCATCACACCAGGCTAATTATTGTATTTTTAGTAGAGACAGGGTTTCACCATGTTGGCCAGGCTGGTCTCGAACTCCTGACCTCATGATCCACCCATCTCAGCCTCTCAAAGTGTTGGGATTACAGATGTGAGCCACTGAGTCTGGCCATTAGTGGGCATTTCTGAAGCACTAGCTTGGTTCTGAAGCTGTATGGGGAAGCTTGCTCCATGGTGCAGGGAGTTGCTAAGAAGAGTTAGGGAATCCTAGACCTGGAATTTAGAGTATTTACATATATTTTTGCTTAGGGTTTGGAAGCTGATTTTGGTGTTTTCATTTCCTATTGTTGTTGTTGACAAATTACCATACATTTAATGGTTTAAACAACACAAATATATTATTCTTGCACTGTTCTGGAGGTTAGAAGTTTGAAATGGGTCTCACTGGGCTAAAATCAGGTTGCTGACAGGTCTGAGTTCCTTCTAGAGGCTCTAGGGAAGAATCTGTTTCCCTGCCTTTTCCAGCTTCTAGAGGTCATCCTGCACCTTCATTCCTTGGCTCGTGGCCCTTTCCTCCATCTTCAAAGCCAGTAACATTGAGCCGAGTCCTTCTCAGGCTGCCCTCTCTCTGACCATTCCTTCTGATTCCTTCTTCTGCTTTTAAGGACTCTTGTGCTTACCTTGGGCCCACCCAGACCATCCAAGATCATCTCCCCATTTGGAGGCCATCTACTGACGACAACCTTAATTCCACCTGCAACCTTGATTTCCCTGTGCCCCATAACCTCACATAATCATAGGTTCCAGGGATTAGGACATAGATATCTTTGGCAGGACATCCTGCCTACCACATTCTCTTTAAGTTTTTTTCTCATTTCCAGGTTTCTTTTAATAATCTCTCAAATGATGCCTGTGAAGTTGGCTAATAACGTCCCATCTCATGGGAGGAACTGAAGCACCTAGGGATGGCCAAGGCCTGCTTAGGGCTGCCAAGGAGACGAGCTAAGGTGAAAGCGACTTACTCATTTCCAACCTGTTAAATAATATTTTCAGTGGAAAACAGCAAAATATAAGAAAGCATGTATAGTAGAATTACAATCTCATAAAAATATATCCTGCATATAATCATAGTGGAAAGACTGGAAGAAAATAGATGAAAAAGCTAATAATGACAATATTAGGGTACTGGGCATAAGACTACAAATAGTTCTTTCTTATTTCTTTTTTTAAATAAAATCAAGTTTTCAGTAATACAGTTAGATTATATTTCTAAATAGAAGGCATGTTAAAAATTAATTAATTTAATGGCACCCACCCTCTTCTCATGCGTATTTCTTTAGTTCTTCCCTAAAGTTATTCTAGACCTAACCACTCACTCAAAAGTCACTCTAAAATATAAAAGGAGACAGAAGGGAGCCAGGAAGGGAGTTTCTGGAACAGGGAAATAAACATGACAGCAGAAGGCTGGCTATGTATGGTTTCAGACTATTCAGGCTTGCCTCGGCTTTGCCAATCAACCCCAGCTTTGGGGTTCTTCTGCAATGAGTAATTAGTGTGCATGTGGTGGCCTGTTATCCACATTCCACCATGAGGGCTTCCTTTAGCTTCCTTTAACAAGGGATTTGCTCTGGCCAGTTGCCTTCCTGATACATATCAGGTCTCTGAATGCAGAGGTGTGAAGGGGACTCCCGGTACCTGCCTCTTTCCACGCACTGGCTATCCTGTCCACCTGCTCTAGTGCTGGCCGCTGAGGGTTTTCAGAGGATAGAAGGAGATGGTAGGGCTTATGTTTCTGCCCAGCAGATATAGGGTGGCAGGGCACCAGAGTCCCCAGGAAGAAAACAAAGGCTCAGATAGCCAGCTGCCGCCCAGGCTTTGTAGGCAGGAATCAACAGAAGGGAAGAGAGAAGCCCCCAAATCCTAGAAGTGGAAGGCACAGCCCTCCACAATTTGGCCCCACCTACTTCCCCAGGTATATTTCCAGCTGGGAGCCCGGCTAGTGATCCTGACTTCCCCTGCACGTTCTGTCCTCAAGGCCTCTGCTCACCTAAGCCTGGAAGGTCTCACCCTGCTTAACTTGGCAAGACTCAGCTCAAATTCTGCCTTCTCCAAGAAGCTGCTCTAGGTTTTTCTCAGAGAGAGAAGCAGTCACACTCTCCACCTTCTTTATTAGGAAGCCGTAATCTAGCTCATCTCATGGACTGCGTTGTATCAAAATGTCACTGGGGCACAAATCCACTTCTTTCACCAGATTGCGCACTCTTGGTGGGTAGAGGTTACAGCCTCCCCCTGCCACCTCCTTCAACCAATATGTCAGTAAACAATTTGTTGAGTATCTGCTATGTGTCAGGCACTGTTTTAGGCCCAAGGCAGTTCCTAACTACTCAGATGCTGGCTCGGTTGAATGGAAAAACCCAATAATGTCTGCATTTTACTGCTGATCACCTGTGTTCCAAGGTGACTGCTCCATCCATCCAAAGTCCTTCTCACAGGAGGGGCACAGCTGGCACCTCCTTGCCCTCAGTCAGGCTTGCTGGAGTCAGTTCTCTGGCAAAGGCCAAGCCTTAGAACAGAGTGACTGCCCATTGTTGTTGCACCTGTGCACTTGTGACTGGAGCCAGCCAGGTGAGTGCAACTGGAGTAGGGGTGGGGGCAGGGTGGGAGATGAGAGAGGCCACTTGCAACTGTGCTTGGAAAGCAAGACCGCCACCCCCAGCCTAACTTTGATCAGCTTTGCTAACACTGCTGCTCTCAGCCAGTTGTTTCTCTGCAGGTTTAATTTCTGGGATTCTGTGCAAGTGATACTCTCTCTCCTATCTCTCTTTGGTGAGCATATTTTCCTGGAAACCAGGCCATAAAGACGAGAATCTTGAAGTGGTTTGACTTTTCTCATTAATGCAGTGTTGTAACAAGGTGTGATCCCTGACCAAACCATTCGGCATCAAAGATTTGACCAGCCATATGTCATAAACGTAAAGGTAGAACTAGGATTGCTAGCAGCAAAAATTAGACTCCAGTTCCTGTAAGAGCTCAATCTGCCTGGATTTGAATCCTGTCTTGATGATTCACTAGCTGTGTAACCTTAGAGGAATTATTTGATTCCCCCTTGCCTCTGTTTCTTTATCTGCCACATAAGGATGACAAAAATACATACTTTACATGCAAAAAAAAAAAAAAAAAAGAAATTGGACTCTTACCATACACCATTTACAAAAGTTAACTCAAAATGGAGCAAAAACATAAACATAAGAACTAAAACTGTAAAACTCTTAGAAAAGTTTTCCCCTAGAGTTTACAACTATAGGGGAAAAGCTTCATGGGATTGAATTTGGCAATGATTTTTTGAATATTATATCAAGAGAACAGGCAAAAAAGAAAAAACAGATAAGTTGGACTTTATACAAACTAAGAACTTTTTTTTTTTTTTGAGACAGAGTCTTGCTCTGTCACCCAGGCTAGAGTGCAGTGGCACAATCTTGGCTCACTGTAAGCTTTGCCTCCCAGGTTTAAGCAATTCTTCTGCCTCAGCCTCCTGACTTTTGTGCATCAAAGGACACTACTGACAGAGGGAAAAGGCAGGCAACCCATGGAGTGGGAGAAAATATTTGTAAATTAGTATCTTAGATTAATATTCAGAATATCTCTCTTTGAGAGAGAGACAGAGACAGGGTCTTAGTCTGTCACTCAGGCTGGAGTGCAGTGGTGTGAATATATTTCACTGTAGTCTCGATCTCTTGGGCTCAAGGGATCCTCCTGCTTCAGAGTGTTGGGATTACAGGCACAAACCAATTATTCAGTGTTGGGATTACAGGCACAAACCAATTATTCAGAATATCTAAGAACTCCTACAATTCAACAACAAAAAAAAACCCACTTTAAAAAATGGGGCAAAGAACTTGAGTAGATATTTCTTCAAAAAAAATATACAAATGGCCAATAAGATAAAAAGATGCTCAATGTCATTTATGAGTAGGTAAATGCAAATCAAAACCACAATGAGATTCCACTTCACACCCATTAGAATGGCTATTAAAAAAATTTTTTTTTCAGGTCCAGCAGGTGATGCATCCATGTTGTAAAAAGGTTCAGAGGGTGGCACATTTCACACATGCATGTGAACACTCAATTATCATGCTCATGAATTACAAAAGGATCTGGCTATTATAAAATAAAATGTTTAAAATTAGAAAGTAACAAGTGTTGATGAGGATATGGAGAAACTGGAACTCTTATGCATGGCTGGTGAGAATGTAGAATGGTGTAAATAATTGCTATGGAAAATCGTATGGTAGTTCCTCAAGGAATTAAAGATAGAATTACCATATAATCCAAAACATTTCACTTCTGGGTATGTACACAAAATAATTGAGAACAAGGATGGGAACAGATATTTGTACATCCATGTTTATAGGGCATTGTTCACAACAGCCAAAATGTGGAAGGAACTTAAGTGTCTGTTGATGGAAGAATGGAAAACCAAAATGTGGTGTGTATATATATATATACATATATGTATATTATGTTATACTAGTATATATTATATTATATATTATATACTAGTATATACTATTAGTATATATTAATACTACTAATATATATAATATATACTATATAGTATATATATACTAATATACATATACTAGTATATGCATATATATAAGACATATACATATATTCCCTTGTGTGTGTATATATATATATGTGTGTGTGTGTATATATATGTATACACACACATAAGGGAATAGTACTCAACTTCACAAAAGAAGGAGATTTGGTGTGTGCCTGTAATCCCAGCTACTCAGGAGGCTGAGGCAGGAGAATTGCCTGAACCCAGGAGGCGGAGGTTGCGGTGATCCGAGGTCGCGCTATTGCACTCTAGCCTGGGTAACAAGAGTGAAACTCCATCTCAAAGAAAAAAAAAAAAAGGAGATTTGGATACATGCTACAACATGAATTCATTCTTCTGATGAATGAAGACATTACTCTAAGTGAAATAAGTTAGCCACAAAGGATAAAACTGTGTGCTTTCACTTATATGAAGTACTTAGAATAGTCAAATTCACAGAGGCAGAAAGCAGAGATGTGTTTGCAGGGGTTAGTGGCAGAGGGAAAGGGGGAATTACTGTTTCATGGATATGAGTTAAGTTTAGCAAAATGAAAAAATTTCTGGAAATGGATGGTGGTAATGATTATACAACAATGTGAATATACTTACTGCCACCTAAAAATTATTAAACTGTACACCTAAAAATGGTTAAAATGGTAAATTTCATGTTATATATATTTTAATACAATAAGAAAGGCACCTACCTTATTAACTTCTTGTGAGGATTAAGTAAGTTAATAAGTGTAAAGCACTTAGAATGGTGCTGGTATAATACTAAGTTCTACGTAAGTATTAGCCATTGTTATAAATATTGTTAGTTATACAAGGGAACTAATGAATGAAGTGCATAAAACCTGGAAAAATGGGAGTGTACCAGATCATATATATATATATATAGCTTATTATAGAAATGCTACTTATAATCCAATTTAATTTTAATAAAAATCTGATTTGCTTTCCTAGAATTATAAAGGGTTAGCTTAATGAATGTGTTGAAAGACTCAGATCCACTTTAAAAAAATACTGCTAAAGCTGGGGAGATGCTTCTTTTTTTCTGGGGCATGTGGAGTTTTCAAAATCCACAAAAGCCTTCTAGGGGTTAAACGTGGGGCTTTGGAATCAGTTGTTGGGCTCCAATTCTAGCTTCACCACTGAGGTATGTAATTTTGAGCAAGTTAGTTAATGTCAGGCTCCATATTTTCCTCCTACAAAACAGAGGTAATGCTAGCTAGCACCTGGCTCATAGGCTTGTGCAGATTGAATGAGGCTGTACGGATAAAATGCCTGCCACACATTAAGCACTCAGTTCAGCTATTATTGACATTACCTTTGACCTCATAGTTGAGTTGACCATGTTTCTCTCTGATCATTCCTACTTCTAGGTTTATTAAAGGCTCCAAGTACAATGTCCCAGGACCTGCTCCAGTGGAGCACACTTGGAAAAAGGAGTGCAGGCCAATCACCCTTTCTCCCCCTTTGCTGCCTTTGCCTATTTAACACTGTTGACAGCCACCAGAGCACTTCCCACATTTTACCGACACCATCAAACAAGTAGCAGGTTATTGATCGGGACTTGCAAGGAAACATCATCCTCCTAATCTCTGGCTAAAGGGTAACAGATAATTTTTAATTCTCTCTCCTTTTCTATAGTTTTCTAATTTGCATACAAACCCTGTATTATGATTAGAATGGGAAGAATAAACTTAATTCAAAAGGCATATTTCTCATAATATTTCTACTTGATAAAATGGTAACCTGGGCCGGGTAATGCGGCTCATGCTTGTAATCCCAGCGCTTTGGGAGGCCCAGGTGGGAGGATCACCTGAGGTCAATAGTTCAAGACCAGTCTAGGCAACATGCTGAAACCCATCTCTACTAAAAATACAAACATTGGCTAGGCATGGTGCCGTGTGCCTGTAATCCCTACAACTTGGGAGCCTGAGGCATGAGAATTGCTTGAACCTGGGAGGCAGAAGTTGCAGTGAGCCAAGATCACACCACTGTACTCCAGCCTGGGCCACACAGCAAGACTCTATCTCAAAAAAAAAAAAAAGTAACCTAAAGTTTCCTTCATGGGTGGACCTTGACTGAAAACAGCAACCAAAGCATTAAATGCCTTGAGTATTAAGATATGGGGAGAAATTAGGCAGTATAGAATGAGTGGTGACTATTCAGAGGAACAAGGCTGACAATACTTTAAAAACTAACCACGTTTATAAAGGAGATGGCAGTAGCAATACAGTTGGCTCTCTGCATCTGTGGGTTCCATATTTGTAGATTGAGCCAACAATGGATCAAAAATATGTGGAAAAAAATAATTAATAATAGCAATATAGACTAGACTCAGTGACTCATACCTGTAATCCAATACTTTGGGAGGCTGAGGTGGGAGGATTACTTGAGCCCAGGAGTTTGAGACCAGCCTGGGCAACAAAGCGAGAACCTATCTCTACAAAAAAAAATTTTTAAATTAGCTGGGTGTGGTGGCACCTGTCTGTAGTCCTAGCTGCTTGAGAGGCTGAGGCAGGAGGATTGCTTGAGACTAGGAGTTCAAGGTTACAGTAAACTATGATCATGCCGCTGAAATCTAGCCTGGGCAACAAAGCAAAACCTTGTTCTGTGAAAAAAAATATAAAAGTAAAAAAAAATACTAATAAGAACAATACAGTATAATAACTATTTACAAAGCATTTATACTGTATTAAATATTACAAATAATCTAGAGATGACTCAAAGTATATGGGAGGATGTGTAGGTTATATGCAAATACCATGCCATTTTGTGTAAGGGACTTAAGCATCCTTGGATTTTGGAATCCTCAGGGAGTTCTGGAAGCAATGTTGGTCCTTGATTTTGAAATTAGGGTATCCTGGAACCCTGCAGATACGAAGGGACAATTGTACAATGTTGGTTGCAATCTGCTGTAGTTATCTAAATCCTGTTTATTTCTCAATGGAATAGAGAAATGGCATGTCCTGTGAACTGAATTTTAAAACAAATTATTTAAAATACATTATTTAATCAATGTCTCATTGTTGGGTACGGGTACAACCCCAAATTATGGTTACTTAGGTTTTATAGCTATTTGACATCTCAATAATGGGAAGCTGAATAAATTAAAGGCCTCAAGAAGAATGGTTTCAACTTTGGAAATGCTAAACAAGATTTCCTTCTGTTAAAAAACAACAACAACAAAAAACCAACCAAGCGACATATCTGTGTGTATCCAGAAGTCTAAGAATACTGACCTCTGATTTCTTGACTTAACATTTATTTACCCACTAGGAGTTGGGACATGAAGAAAGTTCAAGGGTGGATGTATGCTGAGCTATAAACTCCAGACAGTTGGCACATGTGTGCTGTCAGATCAATAGAGAGCTGGAGGTGCTGTGAGATGCTTTAAACATTGACTTGCACCTTTCTGTGACAGCCTTCATTCTTGCAGGTCTGGGTGAGGCCTGAGACATGCGAATTTCTTGATTCACAGTCCAGCCAAGAACAGATCCTTCCATTAGCAGCACTACTGGATTGGTTAACCTCCTCTACCCCTTTTCCCATCCTCACTTTGGCTCTTTGACTTTGAGTGCAGTGTTTTAAACTCTTAAACTATCCTATTTTGACAAAGAAATACTTGCCCTAAATTATAGGGGTGTGGTTATTGGTGGACTCATCTTGCAACATTGTTTGCTTTTCCATTTTCCTCCCCAAAGCCTCTCACCTTGATCTCTAGGTTCAACTGTCTACCTCCTTCACAGCTATAGATTTCTATTTTATTTGTAAAATTCCATAGTTTAAAAAATATATTTGGTAAAATGAAATGTATAAATTAAAATATGGTTTATAATCCCACCATCCAGGGTTTATGCCACAGTTGAAATTTGGGTAGATTTCCTTTGGTGGATGTATAATCAATTTTTATTTGTTTATTTTTTTTGAGATGGAGTCTCACTCTGTTGCCCAGGCTGGAGTGCAATGGCTCAATCTCGGCTCACTGCAATCTTCACCTCCTGGGTTCAAGTGATTCTCCTGCCTCAGCCTCTCTAGTAGCTGGTATTACAGGTGCATGCCCCCATGCCTGGCTAATTTTTTGTATTTTTAGTAGAAATGGGGTTTCACCATGTTGGCCAGACTGGTCTGGAACTCCTGATCTCAGGTGATTTGCCTGCCTCGGCTTCCCAAAATGCTGGGAATATAGGCAGGAGCCACTGCACCCAGACAATAATCAATTTTTTAAAATCAGAATTACATTAGAGAGCTGATGTTTTCTATGTGGCTTAGTCTCACATTCTGGTGCAGTGATTTACTTTGCTATATAACCTTGAGTGAGTCACTCAAACTCTCTGTGCTTCTGTTTCCCCACCTTTAAAGTGGTTAGTAATAGTACCTACCCCCAGGATTATTAGAAAGCATGAATGAGTTATACTTGGAAAGCACTTAGAATAGTGGCAAAAATATCATAACTATTCAAAAAAGTTAATGAACATTGGTATTTTTAGTATATGAATACAATTTTGTAATCTGCTTTTGAAAAATACATTCCAGGCCAGGCATGGTGGCTAACGCTTGTAATCTCAGCACTTTGGGAGGCTGAGGTGGGTGGACTGCTTGAACCCAGGAGTTTGAGACCAGCCTGGGCAACTGAGCTAAACCCCATCTCTACAAAAACACAAAAAATTGGCCTGGCATGGTGGCATGAGCCTGTAGTCCCAGCTACCCGGGAGACTGAGGTGAGAGGATCACCTGGGCCCTGGAGGTTGAGGCTGCATTGCGCTGTGATCATGCCACTGCACTCCAGCCTGGGTAACAGAGGAGACCCTGTCTCAAAACAAAAACATTGTGCATATTTTCTCATGTTGTTCATGACTAACACATGACTTCATTGCTTGACCCAGGTCATTACATGATTTATCATAGTTTATTTGATCAGTGTTCCATTGCTGGATATTTATTGTTTTCAATGTTTTGCATAGTAATAAAGAACCCTGTAGTAAGTGTTTTTCTGCATAAATCTTTGAACATATCTCTGATTATGTCCTAGGACCAGCTCCTAAGTAGAATGTTGAATCAAAAGGTGTCAATCCTTTTTAGGCTTTTGTCATATTGCCCTCCAGAAATGTCATGTGAATTTGTGCTCCTAACATGTGAGACTGCTGTTTCCCTATAGCTGTCCTGGCACTGGGTATTATGATTTTAAAAGTTTCTTGCCAGGCTGTTGTTTTCATAGTCAGATGGTACAATTTTCCAAAGCTTCTTAGGTGTTCATTTCTTTTCTTCCTTTTTTAAAAAAATAATTTGTATTATTTTTATTTTAATAGAAACAGGGTCTCACTATGTTGCCCAGGCTGGTCTTGAACTCCTGGGCTCAAGCAATTCTCCTGCCTCTGCTTCCCAAAGTGCGGGATTACAGGCGTGAGCCACTGCACCCGGTGTGTTCATTTTCTTTAATTTCAAGTCCCTTTTGAGTTGCTTCCCCTCCTCTTTTAATCTACTATGTCCTTTAATCTTAAACTCCAGCCATGTACTCTTCCATACGTTTTCTTTTCTCTGATTTCTTCACACTATTTCCCTCTGCTCATGTGTGGTTAGACTACATATTCTGTTTTGTACAGATATGAGCTATAAATTAGAAGATGGATACCACAGGAAGATAGTAACTTCTTTTTTTCATTTAGCCCAAATATAACCAAAAATGAAACTGACCCCAAACTGACTCATCTACTTTATAAACTAATAAGATCCCTGTTACCTGAAGTATTTAGCCTTATAGAGAAGCTTCTGAAAATGATGGGAGGTATTTTTACTCTGGGCAGTAAGTTAGCCTATATATCACTCAGTGTCCAACCAGGAAAATAGAAAGTAAGTATTTAAACACAGAAGGAATTGGTTGTACAGGTGATTGGAGAGCTCAGAAGCCAAACAGATGGTGGTGGGGGGCGGGGCAACATTGAAATTAGTAACATCAGAAAGTCAGCACCACACTTAGGCTAGAAGGACAGAAGGAGGAGCTGATGGAGTCGTCTGGAGGAGTCGGGGGTCTTAGTGGGCCTGTCTGTTGAGAGCTGGATCACAGAGGTAATGCAGATGCTTCTTTTCACTTGACGCAGAGTGGGAAAAGAGAAATACTGTGGTCCTCCTCTTCTTCTCCCTCTCCAATCTCTTCTCATTGTCTCCCATTGGCAAATTCAATCAGAAGCCAGTGGACACAGATGTTTATGGAATTGTATGTAACCTGTGGTCAACCTGCCTGTGATGCAGAACAAAGCAGGGGAAGGGAACAGAGGGGATCTGGGAAAAACAGGCCACGACCAGGCACAATGACCATTGGAGTCCCTTCGAGTCCACAAAAAACAGGAACAGTGCAAAGTATGCAGGCCCTGGTGAGGTAGGCAGTCCTGGATTTGAATCCTGGCTCTGTCCTTTAGTAGCTCTCTGGCCTTGGGCAAATCACTTACCTACCCTGAGCTTTGAGTTCCTCATCTATGAAAGGAGGCCAGAAAAACTGTATCACACAGGGTCATTGTAAGGTTTAAATAAAACAACATTTAGCTATAATGTGACAGTCAGCATTCAACAATTGGTTTTCTTTTCTTCAAGAATTTACTGTCTTTAAGACAAAGAATATTAGATATTTGGCCAAGGTCATCAAGCTTCTCTATTTTGAAAGGTGAAAAGAGGGCAGAGGAGTCTTTTCTTTTGGAAGCTCTGCCTGGCATGGGGGTAGGTGATAAACTGTCCAGTAGTGATTCTGGGAGATGATCTTAGAAACATTGAAAATATCATGCATGACCAAGTCATCCCTTCCACAAACATACTCATACTTTCTGGAAATGATTTAGACATGGTCTCCGCCTTGGAAGAAATGTTAATCCATCAGGAATGACAGAGAGTCAACAAGATAAATCTCAATGCATGATAGTATGGGAATGTTTGCAGAGGAGGGAGCCATGGGCTATCTCTGCCTAGGGGAGTGGGAGAAGGCTTCAGTGAGGAGGTGGTATTTAAGTTGTGTTTTGAAGGATGGGTGGGAGCTTGCCAGCTGTAGAAATGTTTGCAAAAATGAAGAGTCACAAAAGGGCACAGGTTTTGAGGAACGATGAGCTAATCACATGGGTGGGGCCTTATGGCATCGGTGGTTGAAGTGGTATAGGACCAGGCGGGAGATGTAGCTAGACATGGAGAGAAAGCCAGTGTGTGAGGAGCCTGATGTAAGAAGCTAATGACCTTATTTTGTGGGGAATAAGAAGTCAGGAGAGATTTTTAGATTAGGGAGTCACCCACCACTTCTAACCTAGAATTTTACTAAGTGACACATCTTCCCAGACTATCTTATGGCCTCAGTCAAAGGGCTGATGCATGCAATTCTATAAAGCAGTGGCCAGGTGCACATCTCACAAGATATTAGGAAGTATGAATCAGAAAAATGAGCACAGGCATTTTCCCTTAATATTATATTCAGGATGGAAAAAGTCATTAACTTATCCTGCAGACGCTGAAGGGCTCAAGGTAAATATTTAAAATGTTCTCCCTCTCATTTCCACAGAGCCAAGAACATCAGAGGTGGGATGATGATGCTTGTGGCTACGAGACAGGATTTCAAGGATCCTGATGAAACGTCTGCTGGCCTGAATCTGTCTGAATGCTGAAAAGGACTTTGTGTTACTCTAACTAAAAGGAAAACACAAAATGATGATAATATAGCCCTTTATGCTTTTCAGAACCCTTTCACATACATGATTTTATTTAAGCTTTGTGACAATGGTGTGCAGCAGATAGGGCTAAGAGCACAGTCAATCTCATTTTAGAGATGAAGAAATGGAGGTCTGAGAGTTTCATGCCTTCCCCAAGGTCCAAGAAGTTATTCCCATGGCTGCAACTGGGTTTGTAGACATGCTGCCAGCACCTTCCCCAAACCCAAGGGAGTGCTCTACCTACCTGTTGCCTTCCATATGCCAGGATGGCTTCTTTGAGGTCTTGAAGTGTGTACAGTTCAAGATCCAGCTTCCTCCAGAGACCTTTGGGGCGATAGGGCCCTTTTCCCCTCTCTTTGTGTGTCCATGCTGGAATGGCTAAACCTTCTGAGTAGAGGATCAGGGCACCCTTTCTAGTGCTGAAAGTTTTAGGGAGAAAGAGGCTCCAGGAGTGCTGGTTGGCATTGTCCTCATCTTTAGGTTTGCTGGCAAGAACATAGTCTTCTGAGGACTTCCAGTTCAAGTAATCCTGCAATGAAAAGCAGCTGCCTTGACAGGGCCACTATGGAAGATCTTTCTACAGCAAATACTGCTGGTGGAAGGCTGGCATGCTGATTCACACCTGTAATCCCAGCACTTCGGGAGGCCGAGGCGGGCAGATCACCTGAAGTCAGGAGTTCGAGACCAGCCTGACCAACATGGAGAAACCCTGTCTCTACTGAAATACAAAATTAGCCAGCGTAATGGCACATTCCTGTAATCTCAGCTGCTCGGGAGGTGAGGCAGAATTGCTTGAACCTGGGAGGTGGAGGTTGCGGTGAGCCAAGATCGTGCCACTGCACTCCAGTATGGGCAGCAAGAGTGAAACTCTGCCTCAAAAAAAGAAAAGAAAAGAAAAGAAAAGAAAAGAAACTATTTTTCCACCAAAAGAAATATTGTTGGTGGAAAGCCTTTGGCATTTTTTTAGTTACTGATTTTCTCTGAATTGTTCCCATGGTGTTATGGAACACAATTGCTCTTCTTAGCAACTGCCTTTTCTCTCCACATTTCAAAATTAGTAGAACCCAGAGCACAGTTCTATTTTACTCCATCCAACTTTCAGGAGAGTCATTTATGGCTGGAGGATTTACTTAGCTAAAGTGTAGGTTCCAGGCCAGTTAAAGTTTCCTGGTATGCAAGTAAGCAGTCAGAATTATTAAGGGCAGTAGATAACTTTGAAATTAGACCTGGACTAGCTGGCAGTTTAAATAGGAGCATTCCAAGCCCCCACCACTTCAACTGTACACAGGGAGAATTTCTATGCATTCCAGATGCTGTGTAACATTACCTAATTTGGCCATTTAGGGGCCTATAAAGTGGTTACATATCTTGTAGGTAAGAAAATGCCACTGCCCATATAGGTCCTTTGAAACTTAATATGCCTTTTAACACAGCAAAGGGCAAATATCATGACTAACTACTATGACAATGGAAATCTCTGTGTGATCCCCAAATTTGCAAAGTATCCCCAGTAGATTTCTTATTCCTGGCAGGAATAAGAAATAAATTCCAGTACAACAAGGGAATTTTGCCACCTCTTTAAAATCTTCTAACATGAGATTTTTTTTGGCCTATATTAAATATGAGTCCTGTGGGTTGAATTCCAGAAAGTTCAAGGAAGCCATTGAAATAGCACGAACACACACAGCATTTTAACCACAGAGCATGACTTCCAAAAACCAAACAACCATCAGCTTGCCTAGAACCCAGGTGTAAATTCTGGTCTTGCACCAAACCATCCAAATTCCAGAGACTCTGGAATTCCTTTCAAGCAAAGGCAGATACAAGGAGAAAGACGAGGGTCCCAGTGGCAATCTTGGTGTGTCAGGAAAACGACATTATTTTCTTGAGTTTCATGGAGGAGGAAGGAAGATCTTCCAGTGACCCCTGCCCCCTCACTAACAACACACACCAAGATACACATGGTTTACCTCCCAAGTGGAAAAATAGAGCATTCCTCTCCCACCCCCAAAATGTGCCTTTCTTCAGCTGTGAGACTCACCTCTGGTTCAAAGTAGACTTCTAACTTCTGTTTGTCCTGGCCCAGCTTCCCGTGGCCCCGGCTCAGGAGGGAGAGCCTGAACATGTTAAACTCTGACCACCCCCTCTCAAGGGCAGTTCATCTTGGTTTTGAAGGCTGAAATCTGGTCACACCTCAAGATTTCCAGAGCTCACAGCAAGCCCAAGAAGACCACAAACACTGGACCTTTTATGAAATACATTTTTCCTTCTCGCAGCAGCTTCTTAATAACAACAAGCCACACAGTTTAGACACTGCGTGTCTTTGTGGAGCAAAAAATAAACCGCATAGCCAGATACCTCAAGCCCTGGATTTTCTACACTCTGTGCAACCTGTCTCTCCCTTCGCCTGAGCTCTTGTTGTCCCTGGGTCTCGGTTGCTCTGTTACCAGCCCTGTGCATCTACGGATCTCGGCCACAGCACCATCCTTCTCCTCTGCGCGGAGGTTGTTTCCTGGTTGCTATGGCAGCACAGGGAAATGAAATCCCTTAGACTAACTCAGGCGAGGCAGAGACGGGTGCCGGGTGCAGTGTGCCTTCACCGGGGATGGGGGTGGGGGTCAAATGGACACTGAAGGAACCAGGCTCCGGTTGCAAGTCCCGGTTGCACAGGGTGGGGGCCGTGTTGGGGTACTTTTTCTGTTATTGTTCTCATCTTGCTTTTAGAGAGCATCTTCCCTTCTCTCCTGATATGTGAGCCTCTTACTGTCAACTAACCATTAACGGATCCAGGGTGTCATCTAGGTCATCTGAAACCACCTGTGACCTTTTCCTTGCTGACAGCTCCAGCATCCCCTGGATGGGGAGTTTTGACCTGCTCCGTTTCCGACCTGGGCCGGTTCACTCCTCCTTAGGCAACCTGGTGGCCCCCCCGCTCCCGGGAGGTCACCATATTGATGCCGAACTTAGTGCGGACACCCAATCGGCATAGCGCACTGCAGCCCAGAACTCCTGGGCCCACGATCCTCCAGCCTCAGCCTCCCGAGTGGCTGGGACTACGGGCACGCGCCACCACGCCAGGCGCTCAGGTCTCTGACAGCGGCATTGTGACGAGCACAGGACAGGAGGGAAGAGACTCAGGAAACAAAAAGACCCCTTTGCTGGGGATCTAGGGACTTGCTCAAGCCTGGGCAAGTAAGCTGCCTTTCAGCGTTCAGCCGGACTACCCTGACCGTCTTGTGGAAGTGCCCCCTGCTGGCCAGTGTGAAGAAGCACAACGGGCGACAAGCCCACTTAGCTTTTTGATCTTCCTATGTGGCACCTTCCACTCCCCCTCCGACCTTCCCCACTTCCAACCAAGCTCAAGTCTCCTGAGAAAGAAATAGAGGTTATGTTGTAAAATAAGATAGGGTTTATTACGGGGAATCAAGACAGTGAATGAGTGAATGCAGAGGCTCCAAACTGAATACAATCAAAACCACAATGAGATACCACTTCACACCTGCTAAGATGGCTATTATTAAAAACAAAACAAAAGAAAAAACCAAAAACCAAAACAAAACAGAAAATAACAAGTATTGGTGAGGATATGGGGAAATCAAAAACCTTGTGCATTGCTGTTGGAAATGCAAAATGACATAGCCTCTGTAGAAAATGGTATGGCAGTTTCTAAGAAAAGTAAACAGAATTACTGTACCATCCAGTAATTCCACTTCTGGGTCTGTGTACCCAAAGGAAGTGAAAGCAGGGTCTCAAAGGGATATTTGTATACTCATATGTAGAGCAAAATTGTTTATAAGTGCCAAAAGGTGGAAGTAACCCATGTCTATGACAGATGAATGAATCAACAAAATGTAGCAGATGTATACGAGGCAGTGTTATTCAGCCTTCAAAAGGAAGGAAATTCAGACACAGGCTACAACATGCATAAACTTTGAAGACAGTACACTAAACAAAATAAACCAATTATAAAACAACAAACATTGTATGATTTCACTTATGTGAGGTGCTTATGTGAGTGGTCACATTTGTAGAGACAGAAAGTAGATGGTGATTGCCAGGGCTGGCTGGGAGACGAGAACGGAACATCAGTGTGTGATGGGTACAGGGTTTCTGTATGAGGAGATGAAAAGGTTCTGGAGATGGATTCACAACAATATGAATGTACTTAACGTCAGTGAACTGTAAACTTAAAAATGTTAAAATGGTAAATTTGAGCCAGTGCAGGTGGCACACACCTATAATCCCAGCTATTCTGGAGGCTGAGGCAAGAAGATCCCTTGGGCCCAGGAGTTTGTGATCAGCCTGAGCATCATTGTGAGACTTCATCTCTAAAATAAAAGGAAATTTATATTACATATATTTTGCCACAATTAAAACTTTTTTCGGCTGGTTGTGGTAGCTCACACCTGGAATCCCAGCACTTAGGGAGGCAGATCACTTGATGTCAGGAGTTCGAGACCAGCCTGCCCAACATGGTGAAACTCTGTCTCTATTAAAAACACAAAAATTGGCCAGGTGTGATGGCATACACCTGTAATCTCAACTGCTTGGGAGGCTGAGGCACAATAATTGCTTGAACCTGGGAGGCGGAGTTTGCAGCGAGCCGAGATGGTACCACTACACTCCGGCCTGGGCAATAGAGTGAGACTCGGTCTCAAAAAAACATTTTCAAAAAATGTTGTACAGCAAAAAATAAAAAAGAAAACACTGAATTCAGCACTTCATAATCTGAAAGCTGATTGGTCAGCATTATGGAGTGACCTTCTCGAGGCAGGTGAGACAAAATTCGAGAAACCCAGGGTTCCAAATACTTTCTGGGGTCTTAGCCTCCAGTTGCTCAATCCCTTCCCCTTCCCTATCCCTTTGAAGTGCAAAAAGGGCTCTTAAACAAAACTTTGTGATCCCTGGACTCAAGGTGGTGCTGATACCTGAAATATGACGTGACAGTTGTGTTAATGGAGGTTGAGTGAAGTAGGTGCTCTAGGAAGAGAGGTGAAGGTGTGTGCATCGGGGAGGTGGGGGATGGATGGTGGCAGGCACTGTGGAAGGCCACCAAGATGAGGAAGCTTAGAGGTGGGCTTTGGAAAACAGCAGTTTGCTAAGAAGATGTGAGAAGATAGTGAGGAGGGAAGATCAAAGAGGATATTGCAGGAGGCAGGGACAAGGAAGTTTGAGGTCTCTGGGGAAAGGGTGACTTCTCTGTTGTGATCAAAACTGCAAGTCAGCTGGGAGCAGTGGCTCACACCTGGAATCCCAGCACTTTGGGAGGCTGAGGCGGGTGGATTACCTGAGGTTAGGAGTTCGAGACTAGCCTGGCCAGCATGGTGAGACACCCCCCCTCCCCCGTCTCTACTAAAAATACCAAATTAGCTGGGTATGGTGGTGCATGCCTGTAACCCCAGCTACTAAGGAGGCAAGGCTGGAGAATTGCTTGAGCCCAGGAGGTGGAGTTTGCTGTGAGCTGAGTTTGTGCCATTGCATTCCAGCCTGGGTGACAAGAGTGAAACTTCATCTCAAAACAAAAACAAAAAAAAAAAAACCTGGGCTCAGTGTGGTAGCTCATGCCTGTAATCCCAGCACTTTGGGAGGCCAAGGTGGGTGGATCACAAGGTCAGGAGTTCAAGACCAGCCTGACCAATATGGTGAAACCCCGTTTCTACTAAAAATACAAAAATTAGCCAGCTGTGATGGTGGGTGCCTGTAGTCCCTGCAACTCGGGAGGCTGAGGCAGGAGCATCACTTGAACCTGGGAGGTGGAGGTTGTAGTGAGCCGAGATTGTGCCATTGCCCTCTAGCCTGGGCAACAGGAGACTCTGTCTCAAAAAAAAAAAAAAAAAAGAGAAAGAAAGAAAAGAAAAAAGCAAAACTGCATGTGAACAGAGGTGCAAGGACAGAGGTCAGCTGACCAAGGCCATGAGGGCTACATACACCCTGCTGAAGCATTTTGGATTTTATTCTTCAGGTAGGTTTTTTGTTGTGGTTTTGTTTTGTTTTTTTTTAGAGGCAGGGTCTCACTATGTTGCCCAGGATGGTCTCAAACTTCTGGGCTCAAGCGATCCTCCTGCCTCAGCTTCCCAAATAGAAACCGCATGAAACAGAAAATAGATGCTCGTTAATGGCCACTTCCCTGGAACATTCAGGAATGCATCCCTTGTTTCAAAGTGCTTGGAGTGAATGAATGTCACTCTGGAGAAGCGGCCTATGTGATACTGTCAGAACCTTTATCCCTCTTTAAAAGGGAGTGTAATAGTGTTTTCTAGTATTGTATTCATCTTTAGGGGAAATCTATAAGTAGACTCCTTGGTGTTGCCCTTGTTACCCTGGGATTACAGGCGTGAGTCATTTGAGTCCCCAGGTAGGTTATATTAAAGTGCGGGGGGAGGGAGTGGGGGATGGGGGTGATATGATTCCATCTGGGTTTTAGAAGGATAACTCTGAGGAACTTATAAAGGATGAATAGAAGGAGGAATCCTTATCTCATCAACCTCTGGGTGAACTTTCAAGACTTGCGACCCAGGCCAGTCTTCTCTTGGATATGAATGAACTTGTCAAATAGGTCAGGAAAATCACCAGCTAGGTGGTCTTTGAGTAAGACAGAAGGGGAAACTCTATACCAGCTGCAAAGAAAGATAAATCTTGCCATTTTGAAAATGCCATTGCTCAAGCAAGAGAAAAGTAGCAGCAGAGGAACTTAATGGAGCTCTTGGGACCTGAATGAGAACCACTATTGTCAGCTGAGAGATGACTCCAAGTTTCTCCAGTGGAAACTCTTTCTTTGAACTCACCTGACTTTGAAATGCTGACTCATCCATACATAGTGAACCAGGGCTCCAAGACGTGCTCTTTCTGAGTCTAGGTTGGGAGAGCATCTCACCTAGGAAAATGCCTGGGAGTCCATCTGGCCCTCCCAATTCTGTGACAAGGCTTCCAGGTCTCTGTGGGGCCGCCGCAGGAATCTGTAAGCAGCCAGACCGCAGCCTAAAGTGGGCCTCTCCTAAACCAGTGTGTTTACATCTATGCTGTTTAATATGGACAATGAACAGATCCACAGATCAATTAATAGTCATTTAAAAGCATTTACTCAGTCCCGACAACAGTTTATAGAAAGTGCATTTAGAAAGCAATCCGGGTTATTGCTATTCTAAAGAGCTTGGGGATCCCAGATGAAAGGGCCTTGTAACTGGAAAGTATTTATAACTCAAGAAGAACCCTCCACACCCATGTTATACAACACCAACACCATCTCCTGGCACGCCTGACCTGTCAGCCCATGCAGCATGTCTGTTTGAATTACACTGTAACTTCTATAGGGTGGAGACCTTGTTTTTACGGTTTGTAAAGCATCATGAATAACCATGGCACTCTGTAAATAAATAGAAACCACATGAAACAAAAAATAGATGTATTTCAATGGCCACCTCCCCAGCACATTCAGGAATGTATCTCTTGTTCTAAAGGGCTCAGAGTGAATGAAGTCCTAGGAGTCCATCTGGCCCTCCCAAGGCTGTTTGCATAATAATATGAGATGCATAATTGTCTTTGAGCCAGTATGAAAAATATAGAAAAGAAGAGAATTGGATCAAAGACTGTTTTAGTGGTTGGTAGTTAGCTATAGTACAAAGCTCAGACCCATAGGTTAAAGGTACTGGAGTGGCCTATGTGATACTGGCAGAATCTTTATCCCTCTTTAAAAGGAAGTGTGATAGTGTTTTCTAATATTTTATTTATCTTTAGGGGCAATCTACAAAGCGAGTCCTTGGTGTTACTTTTGTCAATGAAAGAGTAAAGATTGTGCACAGAGAGATGAAATGATTTTCATAAAGCCATATAGAGCAAACCAGAGGTAAAATGGGACCTTGTCCAGATTTGGTTCCAATTTTGGCCTGTTGTTCATCCTATAATACTTCTGCAACAGAGTAGTAGCTGTTCTTCATAAGAAGCCCCATCGTGGCTCTCAGAGTGCAGTTATGACTTTGGTCCCCACTACTGCTTTAGCCATGAAGCTGGTGACTGGGTCCTGGACTTCTGGTCTGGCTGCCATGACTGCTTCTAAGCACTCAGATCTCCCCA